GCCACCTTTAGGTCAAGAAATATAATGATTGTTGGACGCCGGTAGGAATGCCTATGTTCTGGAATATGTCAAAGGGTGAAGATATGATCAATACACCCTGTTCCTGGTCTAAAGCCTGCCTGGTTCTCTCGTGTTTGTGCCTCCCGAGCACAACTTAGTCTACACAATATTATTGAGCCTAGGACTTTAGATACTATATTAGTCAAGCTAATCCCTCTGTGATTATCACAGGAAGACTTGTCTCCCTTCTTGTATATAGGGATAATCAGTGACTTACACCAACCCGACGGGACTTCCTCTGATTCCCAGACGCTGCCTAGTACCTCAGTTAACGCAGACAGTAAACTGTCTCCACCGTACTTAAATACCTCTGGAGTCATTCCGTCAGGTCCTGCTGCTTTGCCTTGTTTCAGACTAGTGCCAGCTTTAGTAACTTCAGTTAAGGACGCGGGACCTGTGTCTATATCCCATTCAGGGAGGTGTTGGATGTTCGGCAGGTTAAGCGTCGCTGTAGGCCAATTAAACTGCTCCTCATAGTGTTCCTTCCAACGTTCCAGTCGTCTATCCTGGGAGCTAATTATGGTGCCATTTTTCTCAGAGATTGTTTCACTTATCATTTGCCTTTTCACACCTGTTTCCCTGATAAGTCTAAATAGTTGTCTGGTGTTCTTATTTCACTACTTCAGTGGTCATTAAATAGATTACGCCGAACTCCAATATATTATGAAGGTTGTTAGTCATCCGCTTCCCAAAATCCATTGGTACTATGTTACTGCTAAGATGGACGAGTTGAATGAATTGTTATCATCCTAGTGACTAGAATCTAGGAAACTTACTAGATAATAATGGTTCATGATAACTTTATCTCTTAGAATTTTAAACAATTATATAGACTTGCATTTCAGAACTAGTCTCTCAATAACCTCGTCACTGAAGTCATTTTCTCGAAGGAAACATTTTTAATTTTGAGTTTGTGAATAATAATTCCTTAGATAACCGACTCATGTTAAAGTGATGTGATTTCAGCTTATAATATACGTTATCATAAGGTTTTAATTTACAGATTGTTTCATTGCATTTATTCTCCAAACTGCTCATCTTACTTCATGTACCCTATTTAGCATTGGTTGCCTCCGTATTTAAATTTATCATTGTAAATAATGATAGCTATGAATTCTTTCACAGTGTAATGCATTTGAAATAATAGAGAAGATTTGTAGCTCAGGTGGATGATTTGCAATTAATAGTGTTCTCTGAGCTGGTTGGTTTAGTTGCGGAGCTTTCGTCGTCCTTCTGGACAACATCCTCATTCAGCGCAATATTTAGCATAAAGTGAAATGATTTAAATTTCTTCATGAGTGATATAATTGTGTCTCCTGGTAACCATCTTTACATATGTATTGACCATTTTCTATTGACTTGGATTTTAAACTTTCTGGTCACCTGATTTACTTTTTATTAGTTGGTATATTTCGTCTACATTAACGTGTTTGTTAATTGCATTTTCGTTTGAGTACCAGGCTTCTAGGAATTCCCTGGCACTTTTAGTGTTTCCTCTGTCTAAGATTTTGACATTATCCCAATCAAATTGATGACCATAATTGTCTATATGCATTGATACTAAAGAATACATATCGTGTCTTTTCACGGCTGATTTGTGTTCTTGGATTCTAATTCGAAGGGGACGCCCACTTTGGCCGATGTAATGCTTGTTGTAGTTCATACAATTTATTTTGTAAATGGTATTAATTTTATCCCCTTTTTTTGTTGGATCTTTCGGTTTGCATAATATCGAATTAAGCGATTTGACTGGCTTGTGTGCTATATCTATATCAAACGGTTTCAGTATTCTAGCTGTTATTTCAGAGATATTTCTCATGTATGGTAGAATGAATTTTCTTGTGGTCTTTGATGATGGTTTCTTGTTGGTGTTTTGATTCGACTTTAAACACTTTTTGATGAAATTTTGTGGATAACCATTCTTTTTGAAGACCGTTTGTAGGTACTTTTCCTCCATTCTTTTCAACTCTGGAGTGCTACAATGTGTCTGAACTCTTTTTAACAATGTCTGCACACAGTTTCATTTGTGAGTGATTGGATTATTGCTAGTATAGTTGAGTATTTGATCTGTGTGCGTTGATTTGCTATATACTTGTGTTTCTAAATCTCCTGTGTTGGTTCTCCTGATTAAGACATCTAAAAGTGGGATTTTGTTACCTAATTCTTCTTCCCTTGTGAATTTGATGTCTTCAAATATGTTGTTTATTAATTTATGGGTATATTCTAAATCATTTCTCTTAATTAATACAAATGTATCATCGACGTAACGTATCCAGATTTTTGGTTTAATTATAGGTACATCTATTAATTCTAATCTCTGCATAACGGCTTCAGCTAATAATCCTGATATGAGCGATCCCATTGGTGTTCCTTTTATTTGTTCATATATTTGAGTATTGAATTGGAAGTATGTTGTAAGGCATAATTTTATGAGTTCTATCCAAGTTGAACATTGCATTTTTATGTTTTTATCACTATAGAGCAATTGTTGCATAGTCTCTGTTGCTAGTTTTGGACTAATTGAAGTATATAATGCTGTGACATCATCAAAGAGCACCATTATTATTTCATTGTCTTCTAATTGAATGTTTTTGATTTTCACTAAAAATTGGATTGACGAATTGATACAATGGTCGCATGATTCTGTTAGGTAACTTAATTTCCTGAAATCATCCTAAGTGTTTAAAACAAGCAATAAAGGTTAATAAAGCAGGATTTAGTGAATTCATCGAATTTCGGTAGAACTCGTCTACTGAATACTCTACATACGCGGATATACATACTATTGAAATTACATTGGGAGATATAGGACTGATAAGTAAACAAACTACCACTTTTCGCTGACTTATTCTTGTCACGCCTAGAAACCGGTACCTTGCGGCAACATATCTATACCTAAGATATGTTGATGACATTTTTATTGCCTGTGGAAGCAAATCAAAGGCCGAAGACATGCTCATAAAATTCAACTCATGCCATCCAAGTCTCAGTTTCACAGTAGAACACGAGGAAAACGATACTATTAAATTCCTAGACGTTTTTCTGGCGAAAATGAATGATGGCACAATCGAAAGATCTATATTTAGAAAGTCCTCATGGACAGGACAGTACATGCATTTCAAGAGTTTTGTTCCAATCCAGTATAAAAAGAACTTAGTCAGAACACTGTTCAATAGAGCACGAAAAATTTGTTCTGACAGTACTGTTGAGTATGAAATAAAATCCCTGAAGGATATCTTATCTAAGAATGGATATCCTGAGAAGTTCATTAATAAATACTCTAAAGAAAACACCCGCTGCAAAACAATCCAAACAGTTCCGAAGAAACCTGTCTATATCAGTTTGCCGTTCAAAGGAGATGATGTACAGGAAGTAGTCAAACGAAGACTCGACAAAGCCATCAAGAGAACTTATTATGCTGCAAAACTTGTTTTCCTTAACACCACTAAGCGAGTGCTTCAACAATCTGGGAAAGACCAGTCGCCAATCCTCGACACTTCAAACTGCGTATATCAATTTGAGTGTGTTTGTGGAAGCAAATACATAGGTCGTACGGAAAGGAGATTGTCTACTCGCATGATGGAGCATTTGCCAAAATGGTTGAAAACAGCTGAGTTCAAAGTGCCAAAATCCTCAATAACAAAGCATCTTGTGGATTACGGGCATGATATCGACGCGGTCAAGTCATTCACCATTGTCAGCAGACAAAGAAACAAGAAGATGCTTGCAATTGCAGAGGCTTGTGCAATTCGAGTTTACAAACCAGGTCTCTGTGTACAAAAGGAGATGGTCGTGACTCTGAATCTACCATGGTAATACGTTTTACTTATAATTCTACCTCTTATTATTATTATTTTATTATTACTATTATTATTCTCATTATTATTATTCTTGATTCATTTAAAACTATCCTTTATCAGTAGCATTATCTTAACTCACTTCAACACTATTATTATTATTGTTATTATAACTATTACTATTGACATCCCTCTGGTTGCAATTCTTGTTAAATTCTCTAATGTCTAATTGTTTATCTAAGTGATGTAATTGAAGCGTAATGCAATTTATCTTAATTTTGATCTCCCATACTCTCTCTCCCCTTATCTAATTGAACATGACCTGGAAAAACATTCGCACCTGTCTTTCTGCATGACTAATTCAATGTAGTTTATTTACTTATCAGTCCTATATCTCCCAATGTAATTTCAAAACTATATATATCCGTGTATGTAGAGTATTCAGCTGACGAGTTCTACCGAAATTTGATGAATTCATTAAATCCTGCTTTATTAACCTTTATTGCTTGTTTTAAATTCGTATCGGGAAATGAATGTTTCCAAATCTTAAGTGTTCATTATTCAAAAATAAAGACAAGCATTAATTGTGAATTCGTAAAATATTCTTTGAACAAGCTTTGAACGTACAAGTATCATATAATATACATATACATTTATACACATTGAAATAATTTGCATAGTTGGAAAACAGTTTCCTCTCTTGAAGAAATAAGAGCATTCTTTTATTTTTTTTTAAAAAAAGCATGAAGGAGTAGAATAGGACAATACTTTTATATCATAAAAAATTATCACTGTGTGTGTGTGTGTGGTTATTTTGAAATTTCGCAAAGAAGAACATAAGGAGTAGAGATTTCAAAAGGGGTGATTAGTTTAACTTAAATAGGGACCTTGTTAGTTAACTTAATTATATTACAAAATAATAGAATTTTCAGTGGCTTATAATTTAGTACAGTTGCAGGTTTTTTCCCTTCAAAACGAAAAGAAATAAGTGGTGTTTACATAAACGTGTGTATCGTCTATTGTAAAAGTGATAACAATAAATAGCAGCATTAATCTCCCGAGTGTGCATTTTAGTGTAAATAGTTCATAAAAAATACGCAATGTAAGGTTAGGTTAAAAACATAATAGAAATTTTTTTTGTGAACAGTAATGTTCGTGGTGTAGTTGTTTCTCAAACAACCAGAAGATTATTGGTGCACAACATTTGTATTTCATTGTGAACTGAAAAAAGAAAATGTTTTTTGTTTTACGGTTGGACATCTCTTCGACGTATTGTCGAGTCACTTGTACTTCGATTCAGTGTAGCTGAACTGTCTCTTGATTCACGCCATGTGGAACGACCAGCTGGGATTGGTGTACGAGAGAAAGCTGATTGATCTATTAGTGGACTGACATCTGTATTTGATGTACCAATCTCTTCAGGAGCCGGTTTACTTCTCTCGTCATCATTACATCGAACCGAAGGACTGATATGATTGATTTTTGTTGTTGACTGGTATAATCTTGATTCAATGAATGATTTTCTTGGCTTTATGAATAAACTTGATCCTGATGACCGGTTCAACCGAGCAGGTATGGAACCGGTTACTTGGTAATAATATGGATCATATCGGGAAGGTGCTGTAGTCGGTTTGTATAATCCCACTAGGAATGAATCCTAGGAAAAAATAAGAAGTGGGCATATTTATAAAGTTTTAGCTCTAATTATACAGTCGTTTAAACTTTATGCTATCTGTTGTAATCTTGGAAACGTTGTTACTAAGATTTCACTTGAAGTATGGAGTTTGAGGAGGAGATGAAACAGTCTGGAATAACATGGACGCAAGTGAAAAGTACAGCACAAGACAGAAGCAAGTGGAGACGTGCAGTTGAAGCCCTATGTTCCACTAGGAACCCAAGGGAACAATAATAATAATGGAGTTTGAAAATACTGATGCTCGAAGACATGAAGAGGCTAGCTATCTTTGATCATAGGTGCCTGCGTTCTATCTCCCGTGTGAAGTGGTATAATAGGGTGAGCAATATTGAGGTTAGGTATCGGTCGAGTGCTAGGTAAGGAGGGGAAATCAATAGACGAGACTGTGAAGTTACATCGACTGAGAGAGATGGTTAGGACATGTGTTACGCATGCATGCGTCTAGCCATCCATATTCTTCCTCGACCGACAATGTTAGTTGACATAGGGTCAGGTTAAAAGGAGTTAGTGTTTGTCAAACCAAAACATAGCTGCATCAGTCAATGAAATCCACAACAGCCAGTTTAAGCCAGCCAGTCACGCAGGAAGGTGTACACATCCTGACTGGTTGGAGTCCTCGGGACGGCAAACACCAATGTCTGGATATAATTGGTGATATGGCTCAAAATCGTTCTTAATGACTGGCATAGATGCATCCACTCCTTGTGACTTATAATACCCAATAAAACTATATGGTTCTTCGTTATTACTATTCCTTTTGTCTCATATCTCTGTCTACTGCCTTTATTTTGCATTTCTTTTTACTTCTTCTTCTTCTGTGGCTTAGTGTGCTGAGTGAAGTGTGGCGACTCGAACTGCTGCACATCGGTGCAAAGTTCTACGTTGAAACCAGTCAGTCAGATGCTGGAGTTTCTAACTTAACTCTTGCCCGTTAATACTGCATAAATCTATCATCAGAGTAAATTTTTCTATCGTAAATTTACCTCCGCGAGGTTTTCGTTCTATGTGAACTACTACGAATTTTTTGTCACTTTTGTTTTATATTTTGCGACTAAATTATTGTTCACTAGATAAGCATATATATTTCAGACTTGAGCATCACGTCATACATCAAACTGGGTTCCTCATTTTATTTTCATCAGTTAGTTAAGTAATTGGATAGCTTCCAAGAAATATTGCCAACTATGCATTCCCATTTCTTGTATTCCGAATGGAACATAGGGATTCAAGCTTTAAAGTTTAAGTAGGGGTGTTGTTGTTTTAACAGTTTGAGGTTGGTACACCGATTAGGCGAATATTTAGGAGTGCGTAGGCCGGGAATCGAACCAGGAGCCCCCTTGTAGTTGGCAAGCACTCTACTATTGCACCACTGACGTATATACAGTAGCTTAAACACTAATTTGTTCACCTGAATTAGGAATTCAAGTACGACAGTCAATTTAATTATTAAGTATTCAACCCATCGCTATTGTATCCCTTTTGTTTAGACGGTCAGCCTTGTTTTGAAGTTTATGGATTTACTTGATGAGTCACACAGTCGAATATATATAGATTTATTTCGTTCGCTTACTGTTTGGGTTAGTGATATATCGCCTCATCCTATGAGCCTTTATTCAGTAATAACCAATGCTTTGGATCCTACACAGTATCTAATTGTAATCTTTCTTGGTTGCCCCCATGACTTCCTGTACACTTTCACATGATCTCCTCCGTGTCACCCTCAGACTCACACCCAATTCGTCGTTTCCCATTCGGGTTCAACTCAAGAGTCTGGCGCGTGTTGTTATTCAACGGTCTTCGCAATTTGTGTCCAGTCTATTTCCATTTCCTTTTGCATATTTGATCGCAGATGGCTTCCTTGGTTAGTCGTCGCCAGATTTCCTTTCTGGCCGGTCACCTGACCTTCGGTATCGAAATGGTGAAGGTAGGTGTTGATGAAAGTCTATAGCAGGTTGTTGTAAATGCTTTTGGTGATGTGGGTACCAAATTTGTTAACCATATGGGAGCACTGCCTTCAATGCTAAGAACTCAGGTTTGTTCCTTATGGTGAATGCTGTAGGTACCCATGTAACGACAGAAGACAAAAGCCAGGCAACAGATCGTTTATTCAGAAAATCAACAGATATTTATAGATTTTTATGTACATTATAATTAGCATCATTGCTAGCAGAGAGGTAGCATCTTCTGATTAGTTGTTTTCCTGCTGTAGGTTATTCTGTCATCTCTTTATGACCGTTTCTTTGAAAGTCAGGTCATGTATCTGCGACTCGTATCCGCCTACGCTAAGTCTGCTGTGATTGGTTGTTGAGTTTCTCAAGGTTAGGCTTTGTTATTGTTTTATCTCGTGACATTAACGTAAATTGGTGACTCCAATTTTGGGTAGCAGACAGCTCTCACCACACACACATTGACTTCAGAGTAATGCGAACATTTGTAGCTGTCTTTGACGTCCTCATCCTTGCCTATAGTTGAAACAACACTGACGAATTAGTAAGTGGATTTAGAATCCTTCCATTGATGGTAATTAGTGCTTGATGTTGTTGCTTGGAAATCCACATCATCCCTTGTCTTCTCAATGTTCACTCGAAGTCCTGTCTTTACTGCCTCTTCTGCCAATTTGTTGGTTTTTTCCTGCATATCTTCGAGTTTGTGTGTTATGAGACATAAGTCATTTGTGAAGTCTAGATCTTCTAGGATCTTTTTGTCATTCCAACATATACCTGTCTTTTCTCTTCTCACGACGTGATGCATGATCTAGTCCACTATTCTTCAGTAATTATTATTATTATTGTTCCCTTGGGTTCTTGATGGAACATAGGGCTTCAACTGCACGTCTCCACTTGCTCCTGTCTTCTGCTGTACTTTTCCCCTGCATCCATGCTATTCCATACTGTTTCAACTCCTCTTCACACGATCTCATCCATGTAACCCTTGGACGTCCCACTCGCCTCTCCCCTTTTGGGTTCCACTCGAGCTATGGCCTGACTCACGATGTCACCCAGCGGTCTCCTCCGCGAGTGTCCAATCCATCTCCACTTTCTCCTGCATATTTGTTGAGCGATTGGTTCTTGTTTTGTTTGTTCCCATAGTTTCTTGTTAGTAACTCTTTCAGGCCATCTGATCTTCAGTATAGAGCGAAGGCAGTTGTTGATAAAGGTCTGCAACAGGCTGTTGGAAATATTCTTTGTGACACACTGGCCAAGTTTCTGATTCGTATAGAAGAACTGACTGACTTGACGTTTGTATTGAAAATCCGAATTTTGTTGTTGATGCTGAGCGACGAAGATTTCCAGATTGGTTTCAGGTTGATGAATGTGTTTCTCGCATTCTTCAGTAATAAGCACTTTAAAAATAATCTCCAAAAATATTCAACTTTTTACTATATTACTCGTTAATAGTCTAAATATTCTTACCTGTTGAAGATTACTATCCAGACCAGATTTATTATCAGCTAAATCGTATCCTGTTGTTGTTGTTGTTACTGAACTTCCATAGTTTGTTAAACTTGGTTGACTATGATTAATAGATGATGGAGTTTTAAAGTAGTTCAATTGACGTTTACTTGTTTCATGAGCCAATTGATCTTTGAGTTGTTGAATCTGTTATTCCGAAGAGAAGAATAAAATACGAAAAAAAATATAGAATTCAATCATGCATTTCTATGCTTTATTTATTATTATTTTAAGTTTTAGTTTACGATAGTTGTGTTTTGTACAAAGTTGGTGTACTTGTAGTCGCCATTTAAAATAGTTCTTCTTTGAGCTGTGCATACAAGGAATTTCCACCATACTCTCATTACGATTACTTCTGCAATAACGTTTTCTGGTAACTGATAGTAGAATCGAGAATTGGCGTTTCGCCCTAATTGAGACTCTTCATGTGGATGTACTTGTTCCTTAGTGAGTAATTTTCTTCATCACTCCACTGAGTCAATGGGACAGCTGATGAGTCTAAAATAGGACGGTACGCGCGTCCTGAGTTCCGCTGTTGGCCACTGCCAAACGAGCAAGTTCGAGTCATTAGTCCTGGCAATATCTAGACATCCATTTAAAGAGCCCATAAACCGAAGTTAGTCCTATCACTTCGATCAGATATATCAGTGGGAGATCAAAAACATGAATCAAAAATAACTACTGTAATTGGTTCACAATAATAGTCTACATGTCTTGCCTTAGCGATCCGGAGAGAAAACCCAGATTTAGGTACACAGAAGAAACTTCTCCGTCCTCCTACCTTAGTTATATAATTCCAAGTTCTATTACTTTATTAATAAGGCTTTTTCGAATATTTGTATGACTTCTTAGCAACATCTATTTATTAGAACAAGACATATAAGCGAACAATATTGTTTTCAATTAGATCTTCTTCAGGCTTTACTCTAATTTACATAGATTTATATATAAAATTTTAACCAATGACGGTGATTTTGGGAATCAAATAATAATCTTAATAGTCTTAATAATAATAATAACAGTAATCATAATAATGTGGTAAATGTTTTGAACATAGTTAATAACTATGATTATAATGATAAAAAATATTGATAATAAGGTTTATGCAGGTGATAAGAATAACAAAGATAGTATATGTATATAAGTGTATAAATAAATTGGGTCAAATCTTAAAAGGTGAAGTGGAACGATAATCAGAGTTTAAATAAATATTATAAAAGTACAAAGGAGGTGGAAAATAAGAAAGGGTGGGAGGGTTTTGAATACAGTTCACCTAGGCCAAGGGAGAGACAAAGGTAGAACAAACTTCTTTTGTATGCAAAGACTAGGATTGTTCTCTCGAATTCCCATAGCTTCGGCTAGGTGTAAAAGACGGTTTCTGATTCCATTAGAAAGACTCGATGGAATACGATATATAACTTTGAAAGCACTATTTTTGTCCACTTGGTGACCGCTATCAATCAAATGAGCCAAAATAGAACTTCGTATGGATTTTATTTGACCTTTTCCGAACCATGAAGGAAGATGCTCATTAATGCGTTTGTTCAGCTGTCTAGTTGTTCGCCCTATATAGCTTTCTCCACAGGAGCAACTAAATTTATAGATACACATTGAAGTGGCACAACTAGGTAGCTTATCTTTCACTTGAGCAATCAAAGTTGGTCGGCTGGAAAATGACAAACAAAAGGTGGCGGCAGTATAAGTCCGTTTTGTCGCTCTCGATACACTTATATACATATACTATCTTTGTTATTCTTATCACCTGCATAAACCTTATTATCAATATTTTTTATCATTATAATCATCGTTATTAACTACGTTCAAAACATTTACCACATTATTATATTATGTTATTATTATTATTAAGACTATTAAGATTATTATTTGATTCCCAAAATCACCGTCATTGGTTAAAATTTTATATATAAATCTATGTAAATTAGAGTAAAGCCTGAAGAAGATCTAATTGAAAACAATATTGTTCGCTTATATGTCTTGTTCTAATATTTTAAATGGGAATATTTGAAGATCTATTTATTAACCAACCCTTTATTTACTCTTTCTACCTATTACACAATATATTTTGGACAGGTGTCTCCATGCTGTTTCATTAACATCTTATTTTTCCGGGTGTTTTTCATATTACTCAACCCTTGTCAATACTTACAAATCTTCACCCCTTTCTAGTTACAATTTGATCATTCATCACATTTTTGAGACATTTTGATGACATTAACAATATCCTCAACTAATTTTTATTTTTGTTTGACAATCCTAATGCACACACACACAAAATAATTATATAAGATTTTCATCATGAGCTGACATTAGTTAGAGAACCATTGGAAAACCTGGGAGTACTGGACAGCTGTTTCGTCCTAGTTTGGGACTCTTCACAGTACGCACCCACCAGGATTCGAACCCAGGACCTTCTGGTTACATGGCGAGCTCGTAGGCCATTAAGCCAGGTAGGTAGTTACCTGGGGTTCTAGTGAGAAGTCGTGACCAGTAGGGTGCAGCAGGTCGGGTGTGAGGACAAATACTCACCGAAGACATTGGCTAGTGGTCGCGCTATATCGTGAATTGGCAGAAGTTAGAATTCATGGGTTGGCCATTGGATCGGGTCCCAGTGGCTTAATGGTATACGAGCTCGCCTTGTAACCAGAAGGTCCTGGGTTCGAATCCTGGCGGGTGCGTACTGTTGAAGAGTCACAAACTAGGACGAAACAGCTGTCCAGTACTCCCATGTTTTCGAATGGTTCTCTAACTAATGTCAGCTCATGATGAAAATCCTGTAACCAGTCAAATCCCTACAAACCAACACTTGAATTATATATAAATATGATTGTAAAGCTAAGTGAATGAATTCGCCGAAAAGAGACTTCGCTGACCTTTTTGTTTTTTTATATTCACGTCTGGATAGGTATTTTCCTTGCTACCTTTGTATCGCGAATGACATGTCAAATAAAAGTACTTATTTTTAATCAGTCTCCAACTCGTTTATGTTCTCTTGATGGATATCCTGAATTTCTAGTGAGCAGTCATGGCCGACAGGGTTCGCCATGTCAGGGTGATGTGCGGGCTGATTGTTGATAATGGTTAGCTGTAGGCGTATATGACGAATTGACAGAATTTAGATGGTTGAATGGTTGTCTTTGTAATCTCCAGGTTTTTCGTTCGATCCCTAGTGGGTTGGGGTCATGGATGCACGCTGCTGAAAAGTCCAAGACTAGGATGAAACATTTATCTAGTGCTTCTCTAACTAATTTCAGTTTTCTGATAAAGCCAACATTGAAGTAAAACAGAGTGTCTGCAAAACTCATTATCTGAAAAATACTCATCTCTTATCCCAATGCATACCATCGGTTAACTAAATGTAGAATATGGAGCACCATAGAATGTGGAACCTATCTAAAACAGTTTATAGGTAGGTTTTGTACCTATGAAATTATGTATCTTAAGTGGAGCTGCGTTTTATTCTGACGTGATCTTATATAAGTAAACAAAGAAAATACTTGTTTTGATCACTTTTCACACCATCATGAACACTGACAGTTTTACACTAGAGACTAAACTCTATTTAGTGATTTAGAATGGTAAAAGATAACAACGAGTGTTATTCATCATCATCACACTAGTAATTACTAATCTCACCTGATCTTCAAGCCCACGTACACGTTGTTTATAACTTCTTTCCTTGAGTTGTAGTGTTTTTTGTGCATCATTTAAAGCGTTTCTTTGCCGGTCAAGTTCACTTTCTAATTCTTGACGTTGTTTTGTATTGACTTCTACTAGTTGAGCTGCATACTGTTCATCTTGTTGTGCCATATGTACCTGCAAATTTCAATAGAAAGATCAATTTAGAAAAAAAACAACAACTTTGGTTTCATTACTACATTAACTCATACAAATAAATTAAAGCTTCCTAGGTGAAAAGTGTTTAGTTCAAGAAGCTGAAATTTTGATCCACTTATCTTACTCGTCTGAATTTTAGTCCGTATTATTATTATTATTATTTTATATAATTGTTTCCTTTAGTTCCTAGAGGAACACAGGGCTTCAGCCGCACGTCTTCATTGTGTTCGGTTCTCTGCCAACGTTTTCACCTGGCTCCACGTCTGCCCACATGCTTTCATCTCCTCTTCACATCACCTGATCCATGTCACCATCTCACTGACGACCAACTCGCCACTTCTCGTTCGGTCGGGTTCCACTTGAGCGATGGCCTGTTTTGTGATGTCACTTGATGGTTTGTTTTCTCAGAGTATGGCCAATCCACCTACATTTCTTCCTGCATATTTATTGTACAATTGGTTCCTGTTGGGTTGGTTCGCTCCCAGAGATCCCTGTCGCTGATCTTTTCTGGCCGGTCATCTAATCATGAGTACTGAGCGAAGACAGCTGTCGATGAAGGTCTGAAGTTTGTTCGAAGTGTCCTTCGTGACGCGGCACCAAGTCTCTGACCCGTATAGAGTAGCAGTAACTTTACATTGGAGTCGAATTTCCGGATTTAATTTTTCATGCTGGGTGCTGAGTGTTGATCTCCGCACAGACTTGAGACAAATGAATGATTGCCTTGCTTTCCCGATCCTCGCCTTGATATCTTCGTCAGTTCTGCCTGTAGTTGAAACGATGCTATCCAGGTGGGTAAAGGACGTTGCTTCTTTCAAATTTCTCCCGTTTATACTGACTGTTGTCTGTTGCTGTTGCTGTTGGCGAGGAATCTTCATCACCTCTGTTTTCTCTGTGTTCACCTGAAGGAAGTCCTATCTTTGATGCTTCTTCTTCCGAATTGTTGATTTTCACTTGCATATCTTCCAGTTTGTATGAAATCAGACATCTGTCATCGGCGAAGTCCAGATCCTCCAAGTTTTTGTGTGGGTTCATTTTATGCCTGTTTCCTCGCTGCCCACTGTCTGTCTGTCCGTAAGATTATTGATATGGTAACTTTCAGATATTTGTCTTCCCTTTTCTCATTGTTAAAAGAGAATAATTAATCTAGCGCTGTTGAGTGATTGGCTATGGTATGAAGTTCATGGAGTTCTAATGAAAAATTGTAAGTGGTCCAACATGTTGGACGTGAGGACGGACACTTCCTGATATCATTTGCTAGTAGTTGTGCCATACATCGTGAACTAGCAGAAGTTAGGATGTATGAACCATTGAATTCCATCTTAATGGCTGAATGGTCAACTCGCTCACTTCGCAACCAAAAGACCCCAGGTTCGATCCTCAGTGGGATCACAGGTGTGGATCGCTGGACAGTTGTTGTTCAGTTCTCTTTGATTTTCTCATTTCGCGGTCTAACTCCAAATCAATCAAATTCCAGCAGGTGAACATTTGAAAAATTAAGAGGGAGTCATTTTTGTACCCTTACAGACTGGAATCCAGTACTCATCGCTTCAAACACCACAGAGTTATGCACTACCTTGTAAAGTATCATGTTCTGATTGCAAAATACACCAATGACTTTGTGAAGACGTATTTTATGTTATATAAGTTATGAATTCACTTGGGAATTGCCTTAAATAAATGACAAATAAAAGAATGAAATGGTTCCTTCATGAAGGATTTTGATGAGTAGATTGTGTCCATATCGAAAGTCATTAAATTCAGTAGAGTTAATGAAGAACAAGCTGACAAAAGAGATGGCAAAGACAAGAATTCAGGTGAACATAGAGAAGGCGAAGGTGATGAAGACATACAAACAAGGACGGCAAAGTTAAACTTTAAGCACCACTAACTGCCAACCAGCGAACGACCTTCAACGGACCAATCACATGAAAGAGGGATTTTCGATTACAGATAAGGTATATTTATGAAAAAAGCATAAAAACTGCATAAAACTTTTACATAGGGTATCCTTCTCTAAAATGTGACAGGAACATCTCTCAGTTTAGCATAGGAGTGTCAATAAAAAGTTACACCACATTCTGTACATATATTCATCTAAATGACTATAAATGACATACTAATACTATTTTTAAATCTCCCCCAAAATCCTTCTATATAATTCTTGTGTATCCTTGTGATGGGATTCAAAAAATCACTAGAATGGTTCACTCTTTGATGAATATATCCAAGGGATGACAGCGAGTTATAACCTTTCCATTCATCGGTATATACTATAGATCCCTATTTCACAAGTCAAGTGATAATAGGTCCTAAGGCAGTAAACTTTCTGTCTGCTATTCTCTCCACGAATCCTTTCTGCAGGGAAGTGTCATATAAACCGATCGCCCAAACATTGTTGACTCGCTCACGACCACGGTTGTATTTTTTCTTCAATGAAACAGTTTCGTCCACGTGTACGACGACATCTCCGCCTAACAACGAAGTAATTGTCTTCATTTTCCATCAGGCGATGTCTCTGCAGTGCTGGTACCACTGAACTGTTGACACGAGGCTTTTTCAGTTTCAGAAGTTGCGCCTCTTACAGGTTGTTTTAAACCCAGTAGTTACAAATATACAAATCTGGGTTGGGGAGAAATGCGACCTAGCAAAAAATGTTCCTACGAAATATTAAAATCATCAGCTTACCTTCCCTAATACTAACTCGTCTCAAGCTAATTGCACAATGATGGACATCCACCAATCGACCTGCTACAGCTTATTAAACTCCACATGAACAAGTCCTCTCTTTCTTAAGCAACCCCAGATCCAGGCAATACTGCAAAACCTTATCCTCATCGAACTGCAAGTGTAACTTCGTTAGAGCAGGTATTTGACGTGAATCAAGCGGAATACAACCTTGAACTCACTTGGATGAACCTCATTGGACCATTCGAGGTCATTCGCTGATTGGTAGTTAGTGGTGCTTAAAGTTTAACTTGTCCAACTCAGGTTCGCTACTTAAAATGTTCTCTGTCCAGTTCTGGCTGCTCTCTGGGACAAAATTTCGCTTGAAGAATGAGATTACAACTTAATAAATAATCGTTTCTTCCGTGCTTTCATCGTCTCTGGTTTTCTATCTAATTTCTTCATATGTTACTCTGTGAAACTACTCGGGTAGCTCATCTCCATCAAAGAATCATTAGTACCTTCTAGTTTAGTAACAAATAAGTCATGTTTGCTGTACCGGTTCGGTTCGATGAAAAACAGAAATAACGTTTAAAGAATTGAGGTTTGTTGAGAATCACTACCGGTTAAAAATTACACTATGAGATTTCAAATAATTCATACTTCTTGTTATGGTTGATCCAAACTTACTTTTGAAGAGATTCAGAATGCAGACGGTTAAATTAATTATACGCAATCAGTGTAGGCTTTCGTGTAATAATATATCGAAGTGTAATCTCATAGGATTACCAAGTTTTGAGTAGTTATATTTATCGACCTGTATTCTTGTTGTCTTCACAGGACTTTTCAAACCTCATGTAGTTCTCATTTTCTTGGTATACATATCAGGGTAGATCGCTGGTACATATTAAAGGCGCATCACTAATTGAGCAATTTTAGGACAGTATAATAGTAATGTTGATTTGTTTGGGGAGTACTTCCATGTTTGCTGGTAGATATGAATAGCTAGAAGTCACTTACTTCACCGGGCCAGTTATGCATATGTAGTCATAGGAATCAGTAGTATGTATTCTGTTGCATTCTGTCTGCTTTCATAATATAAGAATAAAACCTGTGCACTGTGGTGGAGTGTAATTCCATTACGGGTAAATTTTGTTTTGATAAAGTCTCACAGTGTTATACAGTAATGTTTACTGATCACGTTTCGAGCACAATTTATTGCTCATAATCACATCACTTATATAGTTCCGTTGTTTTTCACTTGATTTGATTGGTAGTAGTATCTTCCATATTTCAGGTATGAGTGATGAATCATTCCTATTGCATGTGTTGGGTGTAAATTCGATGAACAAGGATTCAGTAATCAACCTACCTACCTAGATTACTTTTTAGAATTTCAACCCTCTCCCACCATGCTATTGTGTGGTTGTGTGTTAATGCATGCATTGCAATTGCTGAGCTTTTTTCTAAATTACTTATCTTCTCTGGGTCAACCATTCTTCCCTTAGCTAAATTCTTATGTTCTGACAATCTGACTACCCCTGACCTACTAGTTTGACCTATGTAGTTGACCTCACAGTCATTGCAGGGTATTTTGTAAATTACATTATTTTGTTTAATTGGGTCCAACGGGTCCTTCGACCTACAAAGTTTGTCTCTGAGTGAGTTTGTGGGTTTGAATGCCGCCCTAATTCCTGCTTCATTAGGAAGCCTATGTAGGGTCTCAGATGTCCCCTTCTTATATGATATAACAGTAGATGACTTATATTCTTTCTTATTTATGTTGTCACTACTAGTCTCACAATTATTTTTATTTTGCTTTTGCCCTTTTTTAATCTTCCTAATGAATTTTAGAGGATAGTTATTTAACACTAACGCCTCTTCTATCTGTTTTATTTCATCATTTAGGTCTTTTTTGTGCTACTTAGTGCCATTGTTTGCTCGGTTTGTTAAACACTTAACTAAGCCTGCCTTAACAGTTAAAGGATGAGATGAATTAAAGTCTAAATATCTATTAAAATGCGTTGGCTTTCTATAAACACCTAGTGTGTAGTTTGCCTTCTTCTATTCATTTTATTTTACAATCTAACATAGCTAATTCTCCTTGTTCATTTTCGGCTTTCATAATTTCATTTATAGTGTCAAACAGACCAGTTATTTGTGGTTTGGGTATTTTGCCTAAGTACATAAAGGAAATCTTAATAATAATAATTAATAATAACAAATAAGTTAAATCATATAAAAAAATTTAAAGAAGAGAAATGGTAATATCGTATATTCATTTTGCTTACTTGTAACTTTTGTATTTCACGGCGTAAAGTTAATGTCTCTTCTTCAAGTCCACGAATAGTTTTCATCAATTCTGTATTTTCACTACGTAACGTGGCATTCAACTCTTGTTCCCTTACACGTTCTCTTTCCATCTAATTAAAGTGTAAGCAGGGATCAATTAAAGTAAAAAGAAACAAACCCTGAGAATATTACTGTGTGGATGATATTTTGATCTGGTTACATAACATTTGTAGGTATGCTAAAGCATAGGTGTAGGAGATGTGACTGACTGGCTTAATCACTAAATTCCCAGCTAATGCGTTCCGGGTTCGAGCCCCGCTCCACTTACTTCAGCCTATGTGACTGAATAGTATCGTGAAGTATGACTAACTATGCCATATCATTAGGAATAATATCAATTGTATAAACACTAAACTTTCTGGGGTTACGAAATTCATATTAAGCGTTCGTATGTTAATTTTAAACTTTTTATCAAGGCTACATGGTTCAAAGGTTAGAATATCCTGAAAAACCCTCACCAGGAATGAAAATTTCCTGAAAAAAGGCTTCAAAAACACCATGGAATACAATGAGTAATGTGAATATTACCGGCTGTTTGAGAGATTTCACATTTTGGTAAAGAAAATGCTAATATAATCAACAGAAATTCTCATTCCACTAGGTCTACATGCACTTAGTGTTTTATAATCTTTTTTCATAAAAATGAGTTTGGTGATCTGTTATGGCAGTTACACACTGTCGGAAAATTTCAAGCTGAAAAGAAACAACTCAGCAGTTCTGCCTGGTTCTCAAGGATTCTCTCGTTGATGTGGGCTTTTGAAGAAATTAGTCAAGCTCATCCATACTGAACTATTTAATATGATGGATGATAATTGGTGGGAAAATGGAAATCTGGGTAGTATCAGGATTCAAACCAATTAGCCTTCGAATTATTGGTCCGTCGCCCCATCAGCTGAGTTAAGAATTCCAGCTGCCGACAAGTTGGTCATTATACGGCAATCAGCATCAGCGATCATGAGAATGAATGGTACATTACTATTCGTGTAGCCAGATTTTCAATTCACCTTCAAGGCATCATCTTTTACATTATTATCAGTTTGTCGATAGAAAGTTATTTCATGTAGTCTCAAAATCAACTTAATATAACTAAAAAACAGAAAATCTACAGTCAAATGCAGTTTATGTAAACGGTTGCATCTACATATTATTCGAAAAAAGGAACCTCAGTGGTAGTGTAACAACAGAAGACAAGGGCCAGGCAACAGATCGTTTATTACGAAAAATCAACACGTATTTATAGATTTTTATGTACATTATTGTAGGTCAACGTTAGTAGAAAATACAGTCTGTTGATTGGTTGTTTCTCACACAAAGTTAACCTTGCATCGCTTGTGGCTGTGTCAGTTCATCTATATGTTAACTGTATCCGCCTGTCCACCTTGACCTTTGACCTCAATCGCTGTCAACCAATTTGGCCAGCAACCATCTCTCACCACAACATGACTAATATTTGATACATAAACATTGACCTCAATTACTGTCCACCACTTGGCTAGTAGACAGCTCTCACCACAGTAGTAAGCTTTCGCTGATTAATAAAGTTTTCAAGGGAACTGTCTAGCTGGAGATACACGGTCAAGTATACATACTATTTAGCTATATGAAAGTTCGAAGACCCCCCCCTTACATTATTAAAAACTGTCGGTAAATGTAATTCTACTGCTGGATAACTGGCTTTGCGCTTTTTCTCTTGATAACTCAGTTTCTTACAGGTTAAGACTTCAGTTATTGAAATTAGACTATGTGATCTGTCAACGAAAAGAAAATTTGCAGGCGAAGTTCTACAATAGAGTCCCAAGGTTGTAAATGTTCCAATGACCCTGAACGCATGCTAGTCATTGGTTGAGGAAGCTCACCATTATTCTAGCGCGAATAATTGTGCGTACTGGTAAGTGACACTGAATTAATTGTCTTCTAGGAACTTTCTTTGAAAAGTTGAAACTGTCTTTGACGATTGGTTGTTATTGGTGTCGAAAGTTTAACTTTTCCTGAATATCTTGTTACTGTCCAATTACTGGGTGCCAGAGCGAATAACGTTTGGGTTTTAGGAATTTATGACACCTAGATTCCCAAAGGGTTTATGGAGCTGATTCTAGATAGTAGTGCTGATACACTCCTCCCTATTATTCAGCGTCTAGTGTTACCAGGCACCACCATTCACACAGATGAATGGGCGGGATATAGCCAATTATCGCAATTGGGATATATGCACCATAGAGTGAACCATTCGAATGATTCCGTCGATCCTGTCACCGGTACTCATGATAATTCCACCGAAGGTTTCTGGGGAAGGCTGAAAAATAGAATCCGAGCTATCAACGGATCACAAAACGATGTTATTTTCAGTCATTTGGATGAATATATGCATAGAAATTGGTTTAATTTAAAAACTGTAACTCCTCTTAATAACTGGAACATTTTTTATCTGATATTACAGAAAAGTACCCTGTTTGATTTTTTTTCATGCTTATTTATGCGAAAATACGTAAAATTTTATGCAAAAATCACCCTTTTTTCTGACTGGTCGGTTCAAGGTCACTTGTGCGTTCGTTCCTTGGGACTCTATTGTAGAACTTCGCCAATTTCCAGTTCAAGTAATACCAACGAATATATTGAAGTGTACGACTTTTTGCTGTTTTTCCCCCAATCATTAACATAAACCAGACTCCAGCTTAAACAGAAATCCTTAAGTCATCACTCCGTTAATAACAAGATTCGGATTTCGAATATTAATATTAAGTCAGTGCTTCTATATGCTTCAGAAATTCGGCACCTGCGTCATCAAATGCATTTCTAACAGACTGAAGACTTTCATCAGCGGCTGCCTTCGTTCCATGTGTAAGAGCAAATGGCCAACTGGAAAGGATTAAGATAAAAGAACTCAGGCAATAAAATAACCAGAAACCCATCTCCCAAGAAATATGTAGAAGGAAATGGAGATGGACTGGACATAAAGTGGGGAGACCACTAAGTGATATTCTGCGCCAGACCTGATAGTTGAGCTCGAATGAGAAACAACGATTTAGGCGTGGATGTGAAGGTGAAATAAAGGAGATCGTGCAGGGAGAAAATGAAAGCTTATGGTTAAATTGTGGATCCTCCTAAAAAAGACTGCGGGGGACAAAGTGAAATGGGGAAATGTGTTGTTGAAGCCCTATGCTCCACTCTGAACCCAATGTGAATAATTGTACTAATCCAAGTGCTTATCACTTTTCCAGACATGCCCTTAAGTTTTATTGAAGCACATTTTTTGTAATGTAAAGTGACAACATATGCATAATCTTTGTGTGTGTGTGTTCTTGCATTTTTGTTAGTGGCTGTATGCTGGTGAGAAAATGGAAACATCAAGTAGGTGACTAAATTCTACTTGTAAAAAAAACTTACCTTTTCTGCCATTCTCTTCCATTGAACTTGTTCCTTTCTTACTCTAGTTAGCTCACAGTCTATTTCATGCTTTTGTATGCCTGCATCATTCATATTTCTTAGTAAGTTTGCATTTTTCTCTGTTAAATTGACATTTTCAGCTTGTATTGTAGTGGTAGATGAGAAAAAGAGAAGACACAAAATAAAGAACCTCCAACAACTTGAGTTTTAATTTTAAGGATTTTCATGTGATTCACTTTTTTTTAAAAGTCTGTACACAATTAGTCTTAAAATAAATTAAGTCCATGCAAACCAACATTTAAAAATCAATCTAGTGCTACAAGAGCAAGTTACCTGAAGCCCCAGTGAGAAGTGGTGACCTGTATGGATCACCAGGTTGGATGTGAGGACAACTACTGATCGACAACATTGGCTGATGGTCGAGCTATATACCGTGAGTTATCAGGTGTTAGAATACATGAGCCAGTGGATTCTGTTCTATCATATGAATGCTCTGTGAGCTAACCTTGTAACCTAAAGGTTTTGGGTTCCATCCTTTGTGGGGTGGGTTAGGGATGCGTACTGATGAAGTGTCCCAAACAAGGACGAAATGGACGTTCAGTACGCCTTGGTTTCCAATGGTTCTCTGACTGAAATCAGTACGTGACTAATCTTGAAATCAAAGTTTCTAGACTAAATAAAAGTATTTTTATAACGGCTGTGCGTCGGTGGTCCAGCGGTAAAATGCTTGCCAACGCCACACGTGGTGGGGGTTTGGGTTTCCGCCGGCTAACTCCTTTACCTCGCTAAGCCGGTAATATGACCGGTAAAGAGGGAAGGTTGGAAGTGAGGCTACCAACCCCAACCCGTAAAAATAAAACCACTGTTACCAAAACTTTGAAGCGCTAGCTTGAATAAAAATAATTATTATAATGGCCAGTCTAAAATCAGCTCACAGACCACAGAAGAAACTATTTACTATATGAATGGACATTCTTTTGTATGTTGATATTAACACAAGAGGAGCATTTTATAATAGTGGTACGAATAATTGATAGGACGACCTTTAAAGTCATACGCCAAGCTTGATTTCATTGCATTGCGTTCAGAGTGGAACATAAGGCTTCAGCCTTGAAATCTGAAGTTTCAGAAGCGGTGGCAGTAATGTTTTTATGGGGTGGGGTTTTTAGTTTCATGTTCAACCTTTTATCTTTACTGAGCTTACCGCTTGTTAAGTGGGGCTCAAGAGTGCGTCAGCCGGGAATCAAACTAGGAACATGTTCGTAGTTGGAGAGCATTCTACTGGTGAGCCATAGACGCAAACAGTACTATACAGAATCTCCCCGAGGACGTAATAAAAAATCAATGTTTCATGAAGCAGATTTGAAGGTATAATAGCAAACACCTACAAGGGAAATCGCAGTTACATTCATAGACCAAAGTATTGCCATGTGATGCTGAACCAACTGGTTTCGCAACAATTAGACATTTAAACTAGAATTCAGGTTAATAAAGTTAAATGTCTTGGGTGTGTTTTCGTTTCGCTGTTTCTATAACTACAGTCGGTGTAAATTCAAAGAAACTGAATTATTGGCGGTCCTGTAGGAAGCCCTGTACCTAGATTTTCGTGCTCGTCAGTGTAGCGGTAAGTAATTCTCCAAAATTATCAACCTACAGCTTTCATCATTTAACATTGGGTGCTGATTTTCGCTGTTTAAGTCAACGTAACATAAACTTCCAACGAATATATGGTTTCCAAACGACTATAATACCAATAAATTAACTATATGCTCAAAAATGGTCAAGATGAGATCTTTCCGCAGAGAAATTCTCTGTTTTACAGTGGAAATTAGTCAATACTCCATATTTCATGTGAATGAAGGGTGTTAGGAGGACAGATTATACCATGAACAATATTTTGTGCGCTTACTGCAATCGTGAGACTTTCTAAGCCAGGTTATATGGAATAAGAAAAAAGTGCTTACAAAATTCTTATCATCGCTAGAAAGTAGATTTGATGGCGAACCGGTATCACTTAAAGAGCTATTGGAAATCAGAGACCACTGGATGCCTGTTTCGCTTCAGTTTTTGACTTTTCAGCAGTGTACACTCACGATCCCACTAGGGATCTTCAGTGGTTCTCTTACTGATGCTCGTCAGTGACGAAATCTGCTTACAAATTAAATAAATCCTTACAGTGCAAAGCTTTAAAAAAGACTTTTTTCTTCTTGCATTATGAAGTTGTCAATAGCTTACCTTGTATATTGTTTAGCTTCATTTGTAACTCATTGTTAGTCTGTTGACATTCTGTAGATAACTTTTCTAATTGTCTTAACTGTGTTTCTACTTCACTACGCTTAACTGCAGCTTCTGATGTTTCAATTTGTAGTTTCTGTACACGTTCCATCATATCATGTAACTGCATCTTGGTATCATTCAACAGACTCCTACTATTGTCTAAACGTTCCTAAATAAAATAACATGAAGATATAATACAGCTTAAGATAATCTATTAAGCGAGTTGTATACATGTTTTCACAACTTTAAAAACAATAGTGGTAGGATAATAGTAGGAATATAGTGTAAAGACAGAAGACAAGGGCCAGGCAACAGATCCTTTATTGAGAAAATCAACAGATATTTATAGATTTTTATGTACATTGTTATTCGTTATTGTTAGCAGAGAAGCAACGTCTTCTGATTGGTTGTTTTCCTGCTGAAGGTTATTCTGTCATCTCTTTGTTTCCGTTTCTTAGACAGTCCGTTGATATATCTGCTAATCATATCCGCCCACGCTAAGTCTGCTGTGATTGGTTGTTGATTTCCTCAAGGTTAGTCTTTGTTCTTGTTTTTCTCATGACCCCGATTCGGGACATGACACTGACGTAAATTGCTGTTCACAATTTTTGGCTTGCAGATAGCTCTCACTACAATAGCACTGCTATGTGTCCGTAAAATATGACCACTTACAGTAAGGGGTTAGTCGCGGTTGCCTTCCTAGCCTTACCTGATCATTGGCGAGAAATCACTAAATAGGCAACGCAGATTAGCGTATTCAGTTTGATGTAAAGGCTACTCAATGAACCTGTAAGGAAGTCAAAGCGTAAATAAACTGAGATATGGCATTGGTCCATATCATTATTGACTGCTAGCAACCGTTGTCTGGAAATGTGTAAGTGGGTTAAATGACCGACGGGACAGATCAAAGTAAAAGTCTGATACTTTGAAATATAAGACTTATAACACTGGCATGTCGTGCTTGCCACTTTATATATTCCTGTCGCTTTACGATTAATCTCTTGCGTAGTCCAGTGAATTTCATTTCCATTTCTTTATTTTCTGTTTTATTATCTACTAAATGACTCATATAAATGAAATGAAACTATTACGCAATAATGTCAAGTCTTTTATTGATGACATTCCTTTATCTATCTCTGTATTGGAAGTTTCGAAATGAGGGGAGAAATGCCTGTGATTTGGTTCGTCAGCGGCGATCACATTAAACCAGTGTTGAATACTTTACGCCTCACCGAGTGTGATACGTGATTTTCAGCCAGTCAACTGGAAGCTGGAGAGTCTAGGTTTCACGCTTGTTTAAGTGCTAACTGATTGAAGTGAGTGGTTGAATAGCACTTACATCAACCAGTGGTGCTTATCAGGCAGATCGAAGCAATGTAAAAGCCAGACGAATGTTTAGTGCGTCTGGAGGCAAGCTCGTCAATGGTGTAGCAGCTGTGACTCAGCCCACAGAGCCAAATCAGTTCAAACTACCCACACACTACTGATTGATTTGATTGGTTTAGAACTCCTCACCTCAGTCGATTAGAAGTTAATTGTTTCACACATTCATGCTTGCTTTCTCGATTACCATTTATGGTATCAAGCACATGACATATTGTAATCTGAATAATTTTCGCCTCCAAAGGAAACTCTGGTGAAATTTCAACTTCTCAAACTGTGTAAATTGCTACTTCCATATTAGTTTGTTTATTAGATGTATCACACAGTGGAGAGACAGTATTATTTACTGGATGACGACGTTTCGAACAAACCTTATTGTTCATAATCATAACAATTATAATCACACGACTTCGAAACTTGAGTTTTATAGTTTTCTTTGTTCTCTCCTATTTGTTGTCGTTTGGGCAGTAGAATTTTCCAGATATCTGGGAAAATATACAAACAAACTGAGGGAGTTGCCATGGGATCACCAATATCCCCGGTTGTAGCAGATATATTCATGGATAGGTGGGAAAAAATGGTGATTGAAACGTTTAGCCCCACCCCAGATGTATGTTGGAGGTATGTAGATGAAACATTCACTGTACTTAGAACACAGGATATAGATAGATATTTCGAAAACATTAACTCATAGGTGAAGGCAATTCAATTCACTTATGAATTAGAAGGTAAGGATTGGGAGATTTCAATGTTAGATTGCAGCGTAAAAAGGAAAGAAGGTGGGAAGTTAAACACTAGTGTCTACAGGAAACCCACACATTTGTGGTGAGAGCTGGCTGTTAGCCAAAGTTGGTAGACAGTAATTGACGTCAATATTTATGTCCCCAATATTGGTGGTGAGAAAATGAGAACAAAGGCTTTGCGTAGGCGGATACAGTTAGCATATGGATGATCTGACACAGCCACAAAGAGATGCAAGGTTAACTTTCTGTGAGAAACAACCAATCAAAAGACTGTATTTTCTATTAACAATAATCTACAGTAATGTACATTAAAATCTATAAATATGTGTTGATTTTCCTTAATAAACGATCTGTTGCCTAGCCCTTGTCTTCTGTTGTTACACATTCAAACAGATATTTGGATTTCCTATCATTCCATCCTATGCCAGTAAAAATAGGATTGGTGAAATGTTTAAGTGACAGAGCAAAAAAACTAAGTAGTACCAAGGAAAATCTAAGACAGAAAGTGAGACATATAAGAGATGCCTTGAAACTTAATAATTACCCTGATGAATTAGTCAGAAAGTATGTAGGGAAATGTAAAAATAAAATAAATAATGATAGTAGTGATAGTGATAATGACAATAATAATGATAATCATAATAATAGTAGTCATAATAATAGTAGTATTAATGACGACATGCATGTCGAACATGCACAAGATAATGACAACACCAACAATAAGGGCTCTAAATCATCAGTAGTAATTCCAAACAAGGAAGAAACGTCGGAAACCTTACGCAGAATTCTTAACAAGGCAGAAATAAAAGTGACTGGTATTCAAACCCACAAACTCAATTAGAAACAAGCTTTGTCGGTTAAGGGATCCTGTGGAGTCTTCAAAACAAAACAGTTTAGTTTATCAAACACCCTGCAATGATTTTCAGGTCAAATACATAGGTCAAAGTAGTAGAACAGGGGCAGTCAGACTAGATGAACATAAAAACCTAGCAAAATCTAGATTGGTTGACCCGAATAAGATAAGAAATCTAGAGAATAGTTCAGCTATAGCACTTCATGCGGTTACGCACAACCAAACAATAGGATGGGATAGGATGACAGTTATAAAATCTTATATAACAGCAGGGTGGAGGGAGAGATTGATAACAGAAGCTTTGTTTATCGAATCAACTGAAAATACATGTAATAGGAATGATTCAATAACTGTCCCAGATATCTGGAAAATTCTACAACCCCTACAACAAATAGAAGAGAACAAAGAAAACTATAAAACTCAAGTGTCAAAGTCTTGCGATTACAACTAATATGATTATGAACAATAAATTTTGTTCGAAACCTTGTCATCCAGTAAATGATACTGTTTCACTGTGTGATACATCTAATAAACAAACTAATATGGAATTACTTGCTACCACAGTGCCTAAGTTTTACACATATATTAATGCGTAAATTGTTAATTTGATTTCCGCGCTTTTTATTACTCATCAGCAAGGCGTATTTACGACCTCCAGGGGACTGATGTGCTCTCCGAGATCACTGTGAAGTCATTCAAAAGTAAAAGATGGGTGAACCAGATTTTGGACATATTTATTCTAATATGTTTGAATAACCTAAGTACATCTCTTTTACTATCCGCTGAGAATATTCACATTTCTTTTATACCAAGAATGGGCCTGTAATGGGGTGTTGAACTAGTCGAAAGAATATCATATGAGTCATTGAGCTTATAACCTCGCCTAGATTACTAGCTCACTAGTATTCTAGCCGGTCCCAAGCCCGGATAAAGAGGGAGGGTTGGGGCGTGGTGCTAGTAACTCCACCCCCAAAACTTAACCAAATTGCTACTAAAACTTCAACGCACAAATATATCCGAATCCCGGTGGGTGCGTACTGATGAAGAGTCCCAAACTAGGACGAAACAGCTGTCCAGTACTCCCAGGTTTTCCAATGGTTCTCTAACTAATGTCAGCTCATGATGAAAATCCTGTAAACAATAACCTTATTTTTCGCTGGAATCGGGGAAGTGAAATGACGCAGGCTGATGAAAGCCTTCGGGAAGCCAGTCAGCCGATGTGCCTTCTTTCGATGAAAGCAAAAATAAGGATGGGGACGTGGAATATTAGTACAATGTACGAAACTGGAATGGCTGCTCAGGTAGCCGCAGAGATGAGGAGATATAAAATAGAAGTGTTGGGAATCTGCGAGAGCAGATGGAACGGATGTGGAAGGAGCCAACTATCAACTGGAGAGACAATAATCTACTCCGGTCACCCAGAGGACGATCACGAGCACACCGAGGGAGTGGCCATCATGATGTCACCAACAGCGGCTAAAGCTCTCATGCAGTGGCAACCAATCTCCTCCAGGATAATGACAGTCAGGTTCAACTCAAAAGCAAAAAAAGGTTACAACCATTCAATGCTATGCGCCTACAAACGTCTCAGAAAAAGAGAAGAAGGAGGATTTCTACAGTCAACTACAAACAGTAATGGACAACGTCCCAAAGAGCGATATCAAAATCCTGATGGGTGACATGAATGCGAAACTGGGAGGAGACAATACAGCAAGAAAGCTCACCATGGGTCGTGAGGCCCTCGGTGAAATGAACGACAATGGTGAACTCTTCTAAGACTTCTGCGCCTTCAATGATTTGGTGGTCGGTGGCAGTGTGTTCAAACACAGGGATATACACAAGGCGACATGGATTTCACCAGATGGACACACCAAAAACCAGATAGACTTCATTTCAATCTCAAGGAAGTGGAGACGGAGCCTACTGGACACAAGATCGAGGAGAGGAGCAGATGTGGGTTCAGACCACTATCTAGTACAAGGGACATTCAAGGTGAAGCTGAAAGCCTCGAGGATACCTGGGGATAGGCCACAATGCAAGTTCAACACGCAAAAGCTGAAGGACACAATCACACAGGACATTTTCACTGCAACTGTCAGAGCAAAGCAGGAAACACTACGTGGCACCACCGAGGAATCATCCGTGGAAGACCATTGGAACTCTCTGAAGGTAATTTTCAACGAAACGTGTTCAACGGTTTTAGGAAGAAAGAAGAAACAAGACAAGGAATGGCTCTCAACGGACACTTGGAAGCTAATAGAGGAGAGGAGAATGATGAAAGAAAAAATGATTCAATGCAAAGATGGACAAGAGAAAGAGACGCTGAGCTCAACTTACACAGCACTGGGAAAGGAAGTGAAGAAGAGTGCCAGGAAGGACAAAAGACAATTCTACAACAACCTGGCTACTGAAGCTGAGAAGGCAGCAGGCAAAAGGGACCTGAGGACACTATATCAGATAACCAAGTCTCTATCCGGGAAGAGATCAACACAAGTGAAACCTATAAAAGACAGACAAGGGAACCCAATTACCAAAGAAGAAAGACAGATTAAACAATGGGCGAACCACTTCAAAGGACTCTTGAACCGACCACCACCTACAACCTGTCCAGAAATACCAACAACAGCACGTACACAACTGCAAGTTGACACCAATCCTCCAACGAAAACTGAAGTTATGAATGCAATCAAGCTTCTGAAAGCTGGAAAAGCAGCTGGACCAGATGGAATACCCCCGGAAGCACTGAAAGCGAACCCAGAAACGACAGCAGATATGCTGACTCCATTATTGTAAAAGGTCTGGAAAGAGGGAAAGGTGCCTACTGACTGGAGGAAAGGTTACCTCGTGAAACTACCAAAGAAGGGCGACCTGGGACTCTGCAAGAACTGGCGAGGAATCATGCTCCTATCTACGCCAAGTAAAATTTTGAGTCGCATCATCCTGGAGAGGATAAAGGACGCACTGGATGCAGAATTCCGACCAGAACAAGCTGGATTCAGGAAAGGCAAATCATGTTGTGACCAAATTGCAACTTTACGCAGCATCATCACAGAACAAAGCATGGAATGGCAGTCAAACCTCCACCTCAACTTTATAGACTTTGAGAAGGCCTTCGACAGCGTTGACCACGAAGTAATTTGGAAACTACTCGAGTACTACGGCGTACCCCAAATATTCATCAAGCTTATTCAACAGCTGTACGACAACGGCACATGTCAAGTGATCCACAACGGAAAACTCAGTGAGGCGTTTAAAGTGAACACAGGAGTCAGACAAGGGTGCTTATTATCACCAATGATATTCCTAATTGTGGTGGACTGGATTATGCGTCAGACAGTGGGAAACGAGAAGACAGGGATATCCTGGACCGAAGCAGCAAAGACAGGACTCCAGGTGAACATAGACAAGACGGAGGTTATAAAAATAACCAACCAACAACAACAGCAACATCCAGCGCCAATCACCATCAACGGGAAGGATTTGCAAGAGGTTACTTCTTTCACTTATCTAGGAAGAATTGTCTCAACCACAGGAGGAACCGACGAGGATGTCAAATCGAGAATCGGGAAGTCGAGAAACACATTCATCAACCTGAAACCAATCTGGAAATCTTCCACTGTCACTCAGCCTGCATCAACAACAAAATTCGGATTTTCAATACAAACGTCAAGTCAGTCAGTTCTTCTATACGGATCAGAAACTTGGCCAGTGTGTCACAAAGAATATTTCCAACAGCCTGTTGCAGACCTTTATCAACAACTGTCTTCGTTCTATACTGAAGATCAGATGGCCGGAAAGAATCACCAACAAAAAACAATGGGAACAAACAAAACAAGAACCAATCGCCCAACAAATATGCAGGAGAAAGTGGAGATGGATTGGACACTCGCTGAGGAGGCCACTGGGTGACATCGCGCGTCAGGCCAGTGCTCGAGTGGAACCTGAAAGGGAAGCGGCGAGTGGGACTTCAGTGCAAGGGTGACATGGAGGAGATCGTGTGAAGAGGAGTTGAAACAGTATGGATTAACATGGATGCAAGTGAAAAGTACAACAGAAGACAGAAGCAAGTGGAGACGTGCAGTTGAAGCCCTATGTTCCACTAGGAACAAGGGAACAATAATAATAATACATTGAGCTTATACGCCAGTACCGAAAAAGATTTCTAAGAGGTTGCAGAATTTCATCAACAGTTGCCTTTACTGGCTCAATACTGAAGATCAAATGGTGAGAAAGAATTAGCAGGAAGAAACTTTGGCCGGCAACGAAGCAACCCATAGCCGATAGCTCAACAAATATGTAGGAGAAAATGGAGATGGGTTGGGTATACATTAAGGAGGTCGCTGAATAACACCGCGCTCAATGTAGGCTATTGCTGGAGTGGAATCCAAATGGGTAGCGATGTGTGGATCGTCCTATGGTGACATTGAGGAGATCGTTTAGAGAGGAGGAGATGAGAGAATATGTGTAATCATGGGGCCAGATGGAGAGGACGGCAGAACATAGAAGACAGTGGAGATGTGTTTTTGAAGCTCTATGTTCCATTCGGAACCCAAGGGAACAGTAATAATATAATAATAATAGTACATAAGGCTTATACATTTGCTTATGAATACAGTTCATACCTGTAATAAACGTTTCTCTTGTTCTGCATTTAATTCACGTTTTTGTAAAGCTTCCATATGTTCTTGTGTTCTAGTTAATTCTTGTTGTAGATTTGTATAAGCTAATTTTTCACGTGTCAGTTGTTCTCGTAATTCAGCTACACACAGAGTAGTTTGATCTAAGGCATTTGTAGCTCTTTCTAATTCTATTTGAAGATTATAAATTTTCATTTCCATTTCTGTGCCTTGACGACCAGTTAAACTGAGACGAGTTTGTAAATTCTGTAAGATAAATAAATAGTAATGATGAAAAGGGAGGACAGGGAATGAATATTGTTTGTAGTAATTGTCTTTGTGTTTCTGTACATATTATACAGAAAAAGTTATTATTCGTATTGAAACACAGAAACCACGTAGTGTTTCCGTTCAAATTTACCAACTATGAGCAGTATTTATCGCCTGAAGACTGATCCTACTGGTTACTTTGTAGAATCCTCTCAAAGTATAATAATCACACTTTAATAATTGAATCTATAAACTATAGAGAACTTGTTAGGGTTCATTAGTACAGTTAACTCGTCTTGAAACTTGAAGAGATTGTTTGTTTTTCACAAATTCACAGCGGTCTCGTTAAACATCATTCGATTTGATTAATCCTTTAGTAAAATGAATTGCAGACTCAAATAAGCATACTAATCATTCATTAAACTGCATTCTTTGGCATACATAAATGGGCTATTATTATTAGATGCCTAAAGACCTTGTTGCGGTAAATAACTCCCAAAATTATTAGCCTACATCATTCATCACTGGACACTGGATGCTGACCTTCACTGCTTAAGTTGACTGGTTTACAAGTATTGGTTTGTAGGGATTTGATTGATTGGTTACAAGACTTCATCATGAGCTGACATCGGTTAGAGAACCATTGGAAAACCTGAAGGGAGTACTGGACAGCTGTTTCGTCAGTCTAGTTTGGAACTCTTCAGCAGTACTCACCCACCACCAGCGTTCGAACCCAGGACCTCCTGCTCACAAGGTTAGCAACTTCATGGGCCATTAGGCCACTGGCTGGTTTAGCTGAAGGCTTGCAGTCATGCATCCAGGACATTTGACAAGCTGTCGTGTTACTTTCATTCGTTCGTGCATGATCCCTGGCTAGTTAAACAATCAGCCTCGCAATACTATTTCGGCCCCGTAATATATTTCATATTTTCAACGATCAACCTAATGTTTTGATTTGCCTTTGGTCCATGAAGGACAAATACTGAAGAAGTTGTACGCTGTATGAGCTGTATTTTGCGTAAACATCAACTATCTCTCATTGTTTAAAGTCTGTTAAAAGCAGTATGCACATATTCAATGAAAATGAAAACTAAAACTTCATTCCATAATAGTGTGAAAACAATTGGAACAGGACAATAATCGGTTATCAGTGGTTTTTTATAGATGCTATCAGTATGATTCACTCCTCGAATGGGAGTCAGAGAGTGACATGGTAAAGATCACGTAAATAGGGTAGTCCTAGACCCAGTTGAAAATGATAGCAAAGAAGATATGCTACTGTGAATCCGTATGTTCCACTCGGAACACAAAGAACAATTAATAATACTATTATAAACAATCTGTATAGTCGAAGCATCTGCACAAGAAGCCGAGATATCAACCTGAATTGAATTAAATAATCAAGATGACCCGTTACACAAGAGGTGGCTTGAGTGGTCTAATGGATAACGCTTTGGTGTTTGAAACTATGGGCGCTGGGTTCGAGCGTCGGCGGGAACACCATCACTCACTGGGGAATGCAGGTACATCCAAATGAGGAGCCTAAAGTAGGACGAAATTCGCATTATCCTGGATTCCATTGCTAGTCACCGTCCATCAATTAAAATCTGTCCTCTTGATATATGTTTGATTGTTTAAAGTTAAGAATTTCATATTTTTGGTTCCCTTGATAAATTTCGATAGAGAGAGAGAAAGACCTGATTTGCAGTAAAAATGATATCATTCTATTTCACAGGTTCTCATCAGCTGCGGAATACCTGAAATTACAATGGTTGTATAGATGATAATAACATATGTATTGTTTAATGTTTTATAGTATTTCTTCTCTACCACCACCTAAACATTAAATTATGTTATTATCATCTATATAGCTATTGTAATTTCAGGTAGTCTGCAGCTGATAAGAACCTGTGAAACAGAATGATGATATCACTTTATACTGAAAATCTGGTCTTTCTTTCTCTATCGAAAGTTAAGAATTTTTGTAATAGTTGAAATTAAACAGGTTCAAAGTGCTTACCTCTTTATCACTTTCTAATTCACCTAATAGCGTTTGACATCTCTGAAGTTCACCTTCCAGTTGACGTCGAATAATTTCAGCCTGTGTATAACGTGTTTCTGCTTCTTCTAATGAATGTAATAATTCTCGTCTATTTTCTTCTAATTTAATTTCAGTTGCTCTTGACTTATCAAAACGCATCTGAAATGCAAGAGTATAGTTTTTGTTCAATTTATTTGTGAAATTATTTAAAGATAAATGAATGATATAGTTACGTAATAACCAGTTGTGTTGGACTAGATTTGACCATTTGTTGAAAATATCAATTTCACTTACTTAACGTTCAGCTACTTAGCACAAATTTTGTTTGTTTCCATTAGTGACATTGTAACAACAGAAGGCAAGACATAGAAGCTAAGGTATGTTTTCAACTGATCAAAGAGTTGTTTATATCTTTACAGTTTATATTCTTTAACCAGTCACTGAGCGTGTGATTTTGGTTGACGTTAAACGACATGAAATATAATGTTCAAATACATATATAGTATTCTGTTGCTAATGCAGTTTTGAACTGTGGGAATATGTGAAATAATATTCCTTTGGAAGACACCACACTCGTCCCTCCGTCAAATACTTTCGACTGAAGTCGGTTCGGTTTTCTTGGTGCTGTCGTCTTTGTTTGCTAGTCTTGCTGTATCCACTTCCGGAGCTAGCTGACGTTCACCCGTTCTCTTTGTTTGCATTTCTGATCGTATATACGTGACCCGTCTCGCGGTGACCATGTATGGTCCTTTCCACCTTGAAAGCAGTTTGTGTGACCCTGGCGAGTATTCGCCTGTATTTTTCCTCACACTATCATTTGATGCCTTCGTTCGAGGTCTCAGCAGCGTTAAAAGTAACAGCCTCGAAGTCCTTCAAGAAGATCCATATGTCTCCTTCTTCTTCAAAAACTGCAGGGCATAGGCTTTTCATTTGCCGGCCCGGCGGCGACGACAAATGTAACAGCAGAAGGCAAGGCACAGAAGCCAAGGGAAAATTATTCTGTCTCCAACCGCAAATAGAATGTTCAAATATTTTTATAGTATTCTGCTGCTAATACACTATTGACCTGTGGGAATATGTGAGAATAATATTCCATTGGACACGTTGTCTGTATCACACCACCATAACATGAGTGAATAACTGTAAGAAACATAAATTCAGTGGCCAAATATTGATTCGCGCTTTATACAAAAATTTCCTACCTCTTTAAGGATTAAGGAATTGTATGACTGGTCAGATTTCTAATGAAATTAGTTGTGAACTTTTAGGTTGTAAAAATTCAACAAACTAGTACTGCGTAAGGTTGTTTTCTAAATTTATGAGGAATCACTAATAGAGGACCAATATCTTTTCTGAATGACTTTAAAGAGCTCATTAAAATAGAAGGCATACTTTTATACATCACTGACAGAGGGTAGATTTTAAGGATTTCTTGGAAACGTAGATAAAGTAGACCTGAAGACTATTGATGTTTTACCCTAGTTTGGGATTCTTTGGCAATACACACTCATAATCTCACCAGGGATAACACACAGGACCTTCAGATTACGAGACAGGTACGTTAACTGTTCACCTATTGGGAGGGAATCTAATGGCATTTGGATTCTAACTTCTACCAATTAACGATGTATATATATATCTTCGTCAGCCAATTTCATCGGTTGGTCCGCAAGAATTAATTGGTTCTAAGTCATATCTAATATTCACTTGTGATTAATTACAGGCTGTAATCTGGTGAGAATTCGTTACCAGTGGGGTCCACCAAGTCGGTTGTAAAGAATAGTATTCGGTAATGACACTGGCTGACGATGGTGCTATTTATATTGCGAATTGGCAAAGGCTGGAATAATTAAGCTTTTAAATTCCCTCAAAGTGGCTGAATGATCACCGGGCTTGCCTTGCAACATGAGTTCGTTATGAAGGAGTCCCGAAAAAAGTAAGGTAGCTGTCGAGTATCCCTGATTTTCAATAGTTTCCTGACGGATACTTAACTTAAAAGCCAAATGCTACGGTGACAAATGTTCACAATCTTAGTCAGTACCTATTATACTCAGTCGAATGCGGTAAAATCTAAGTCATCAGGTAACGGTCTTCGCAAATGTATCTGAATAGAATCAGCTTTAACATAAGCCATCTTTTTATGCATCTATTAGTATTCTGTCACATTATTATCTAATCATCATCAATAACATGCATTCGAATGCACTTCACAGTTTTGACACCTGTCTAATAATAATAATAATAAAATAAACGGTGCTGTTCTCTCTCCGTTTCTCTTTTCCTTCTTCTTACATGACTTACCTCTTTCAGACGAAATCAACTTCGTCAAATATGCAGATGGCCTAACTGTTTCGCTTCCCATTAAGTCTCAGTCAGACTGTTTCAAATTAAATAGCTTCCTGTCGGACATCAGTCAGTGGTCTAAACTAAATGGCCTCATGCTGAATCCCTCAAAATGTCAGACTATTGACTTCTCCTTTAGGCATAAACGAGATCTACAAACACTAGTAAGTACTCATGAAGCCTGTTGCATTGAGGGGACTAAAACTGAAACTAAGTCTAATGCAAAATACCTCGGTCTAGTTCTATCTTCCGACCTTACTTGGACATCTCATATCCTAACGATTTCTAAGAAAGTGTTCTGTCTAACCTACTACATTAAGAAACTAAGACAATCTGGAATCACCCAACCTCTACTTTCACAATTTGTCAACTCTTGTATCTTACCTATTCTACTTTACTGCTCCCCGTTAGTCTTTCCTGGTTTACTGAAAAAGGACTATACCATCCTGAGAAGGATGTTGAAGGTAGTCAGTAGGACTAGTGGTGTAAAACTCAGTCAGCTCGTCACTACATTAGTTGATAGGCATCTGAATACATGCGAAAAATGGTCAAAAACCATACTCTCCGACCCCCAACACCCCCTCTATTCCCAACTCTCGCCTTGTATCTCATCAAGTAGAACCAGAAATCAGTATAAAATAATCTATGCTCGTACAACCAAGTACAGGAACTCAACGATACCATATTTGGCCCGTGTTCTAAGTGACAGAGACAATGTTAAGCGTGAAACCTATGACTTGCTTTGTTGTTAATAACATAATTTTAGGCTCTTTTATTTCTCTCTTATTTGGTATTCTTTAGTGAACTCCTTCTTAAACATACTTAGCTACCTAAATTATTAACATTGGCTTACTTTTTTGTACTTTACTGTATTCCTTCTTTTGTGTATCTACTGGTTCCGACTATATTAGCACTATGAGTATCACAAAATTGTCCTGTCATTAACCATCATGTAATTATTAGTTTTTGTGGTTGTTGTTGTTTTTTTGTTCGGCAATATTAACTGACAATCTTGGTTGTGAAAGCCATTATCACCATCTTAAAATTTTGTATTATGCAGGATTACTCACACTACCACTACAAACACTGCATTAGACCTGACAATAAAAACCCTGAAATGTTATTTTATGATTGTTTAGTGTTGTTTCAACCTAAATTAACTGATCATCTTGGCGATAAACATTCTTAAATATCATTTCATAACTTCTTTGTATGACTACAGCTTTACTGTCACCATGCATAATCATATCATAGCTTCCACTACCCAATACTGAGACATTATTTTATGTTGTTTATTTTCCTTTCTACTTCTTGGTATTTTTTCGCATTTTTTATTATTTTTGTGTTTTTTGTGTTTTTTTGATGTTGTTGTCTTTAAATTTATTTTTTTGAAATACTCCTTTAAATGTTTGATAAAATTAGATGCAAATATTGTAGATATGTGCTGAAAATTCCACACTGTACCACTAGTACTGTTTCTGGAATAAAGCAAATTATTATCATTATTATTAAAAATGGCAATATGGTACTTTTTGATTGCACACTAGTCAGTAACTAGTGTAATGCGTCTAGTCCTATCTTCGGTGCAGATGAATTCTATCAGTCATGTTTGCAATGTGGCCACCATGCTAGGTGGCTCGCCATTACGGTGCACTGTGAATTGTTGGTATTAGATGGTTGGCCACATCGCAAACATGACTGATAGAATTCAGTCTGCACCGAAGATAGGACTAGACGCATTACACTAGTTACTGACTAGTGTGCAATCAAAAATATCCAATACAGTCCTACAGGAGGTCAGTCGCGAGCCTGAATAGCTCAGTGGTAACGTCTCTGACTGCGTCACTGGGTGACGCGGGTTCGAATCTCAGAAGGGACATCAGTTCCTTCAAGGTTGCAGATACGCCTTGCTGATGAGTGCCAACTAGCACGAAACCTAGGTGGAAGGCTTCCTGCCGATTGCCTCCAACCATCTAATACCAGCAATATGGTGCTTCATTTACAATCGAAAAATGCATATTTTATTCATATAAAGATAAAGAAAGTCTTACTTGCAATTGATTTTTTTCAGCTTCACATGAATTTAATTGTTGTTCTAAGCTTTTGATTTGTTCATGCAATGTCGTATACTGATATTCACGTTTCGACATTTCATTTTCATGCTCTGTAATTGTATTTTTCATCTTATTCAACTGTTCCATGATTTCAAGTTTCCCTGTTCCATCAAATTGTTTATTAAATTTAAGAAATAAAGAATTTGGAGAAAGATTAGAACAATAAAGATGAAATATCGCGAGGTGGGTAGGTGGGTGTGGAGAGTCTTAAAACTGACATTTATAATTTTAGTGAACACTTTTCGGAATGCTGTGTGCTTTTATTTCGAAAGAATTTACAAATCTATGGGAGTATTTGACGATACAGATAAGGGTGTCAAAGACAGACACGACTGGGAATGCAAAGCGGGAGTCTATTGTTCTGAAATCGATGTAGAGGTACACAGCACCTAGCACAAGGAAAAAGATTCGAATTTTCAGCATTACGGTTAAATCAGCCACCCCTTCTAAATATGGTTCAGAGGCTTGCTGTTTTTCACCAAAAGCTTTTCCAACAACCTGCAGCAGATTTTCACCAACAGCTACCTTTGTTCGATACTGAAGATGAGATGGTTGGCCAGGAAACATAAGCAATTAGCAAGGGACTCTAGCAGCTGGTGAACAAGCCAACAACATATCGCCCAACAAATATTCGGAAGGATATGGAGGTGGATTGGGTATATAGCGAGGAGAATTTCAAGTGACATCACACGGTAAGCATGCCTTCCAAAGGGAAGCGACGAGTTGGACGCGAGTGTGATGGTGATATGCAGGAGATCCTACGTGGACGAAATGAAAGCTCATGGACAGTTATCAAGTTAGACTTAATTCATGAAGTCACCAGAAGCATTGGCTACAGTCTACTGTAGACTTTCATAAACACGCCCTCACTGTCTCCATACTACTGGAAAGGATAGGCAAACCGGAACTCTGTCAGTCAGCGAATCATCCAACAACCTATTTTCAAACATATATGTAGAAGGAAATAGAGGTGCATTGGACATACACTGAGGAGATATTCAAGTGACATTACACTCCAGAGAGGCACTGTACTAAAATCGGAATGGGAAATGAGGGGCTGGGCATAAATCAGAGGGTGAGACAAAGATCTTCTGGGGAAGAAATGAAAGCTTACGGACAATCTAGGGACCGACTGAAAGTGATGTTGGATAACCGAATGGAATAAAGAGTCGCCACTGAGGCTCAGTGTTCTATTCAAAATGCGATATATATATATATATATATATATATATAACCCACCTCTTTCCATTTCATTGATATTCGTCTTCATCTGGATAAGTTGTTCTTCACGTTCATTCAACTGTCGACTATATTCTGCAACTTTCTCTTCATTTAATCTTGCTCTTATATCAAAATCATCACGTTCACGTTCAATTTTAACAAGATGACGTAAAAATCGTCTTAAGGCTAAGCGTACAGCACCTGGATCCAAATTGGAACCAGGTAATGCATGCGTTCTATAACCATTCATATGGTAACGTAGTGTATCTAACCATCTCGAAGACCAATCAGATAAATGCGTTATATCCAGTAAGCCTCCATTTTCATCATAAGAATATCCTGTACTATTGATTAATCTTTGTTGATTAGCTCTTTCAGTTGATGTAGACCGAAGCATGAATCCATCATGTCTGTTGGCTACAATATCAATCAAATAAAAATGAAATAAAATAGGTTTTTTGAAACTTTTATTGGCATAAATCATCAGAATATAATTCAAATATTTAAACAAGATATTAATCATTCAAATATTTCGGGTGAGTTTTTGTTCCACTTGGACTTTTGAAAAATCGTGTTTTCTCTGTGATTATACCATCCAGAGAACGGTAACCGAAAGCCCTATTCATATGAAATTAGTTAAGCGAAAATACAGAGTGATGTTAAAGCATACTCCCAAATTTCATGTTAGTTACGTTTACTTGATGTTGCACATAGTGATGCAGTAATAATAACTGAACGACTTTTGCTCATAATCATATGAAGTTAGACACATAGCTTCACAATTTGCTTTATGCATATTCTTCTCTCCCTTCTACCCTTGCTGTTTGTTGCAATTTCCTGTACACTCGGTATAGGAGTTGCGTCACTCCGAACACGTGCAATCGAAATGACGCAGCGCTAATACCGGAGATATGGAAAAATGCCAGAGACAAAAGCGGTGGGGTAGGGTAGGAGAAATATGTGTATGTATACAGCAGATTATGAATCTGACCAACGAATTATTCTGTATAGCGCTGTGGGACTTTATCAAAAATAAATTTAACCCATAATGGAATTATACTCTACCAATGTGCCGGAGTTCACTTGGGATGTCTTGTGGTGAGAGCTGTCTGCAAGGCAAAATCGGTAGACAGCAATTAACGTCAATGTTTACGTCTCAAATCGGCGTCATGAGAAGAAACAAGAACAAAGACTAACCTTGAGAAACTCAACAGCCAATCACAACAGACTAAACGTGGGCAGATACGATTCACAGACTGGACTGTCTAAGAAACGGCCACAAAAAGAGATGACAGAATAACCTTCAGCAGGAAAACAACCAATCACAAGACGTTACCTCTCTGCTAACAATAACGAATAATAATGTACTTAAAAAGATATGAATATCTGTTGATTTTCTGAATAAACTATCTGTTGCCTGACCCTTGTCTTCTGCAGTTACAGTCTTACTTACATTCGAAAGTATAAAGCGCAGTCTATGAAGGTAAAGGAGAAATTGACTAAAAATTTCATGGAACATAAATTGTAGACGTCTAACATCCCCCAGTAACATTTTTACAATTCAGGAGACTTCACTGTGTTATAGTACAAACATAATCATTATGATCATATTGAACAATTCTGACTTGTTACCTGTCATATTGATGCTGTTAAGTTTCATTTGTTGAAGGAACCCTTAGCAATATATATATATATATATATATATGGCGACAAGAATTTATAAACTGTGTATTGCTAGTGGCGTTTTTTGTAAGCGGAGTGACGGATTGAGTTCCAAGGAGAAAAAAATGAAGACCGTTGTTAAACAGTGTAAAGGGAGCATGAAATGAAAATGAAAGACAAGACATCATTTTACCAGATAAACACTCCTACTATTTAATACCGTTGTGTTCTGACGTCAGATATATGCATACTCATGTATGATGTACTTCACTCAGAATTTGAAGTTTCTTCAATGTGATTTTTGTCAGTCTAGGTTTTTTCTCCTATGCAGCACATCACAATTGACCAATGTTTTCTTAAATACCCTAACTTATTCTAATAATCTTTATAAAAATGAATGAAATGTGTAAAACTTAAGTACTGTTGTAACGACAGAAGGCAAGAGTCAGGCAACAGATCATTTATTAAGGAAATCAACGCATATTTATATATTTTCATGTACATTACTATGGATATTTAAGTAAACAAACACAGTCTTCCGATTGGTTGTTTCTCACGTAAAGTTAATCTTTCATCTATTTGTGTCTGTTTCTTGAATGTCGAATCCTCTATATGTTAACTGCATACGCCTACGCAAAGTCTGCTGTGGTCGGTTTTGAATCAATCTTTGTTCACATTTTCTCACGACAAATCTTGAGAACGTAAATATTGACGTAAATTAATGTCTACCAATTTGGCTAGTAGACAGCTCTCACCACACTGTGGTAGTATATAAGAGGGTGGAGGAAGAGATTGATAACTAAAGGCTTATCTATCGAATCAATTGGGAATATGTGCACCAGGAATGGCTCAGTACCTATCCCAGATATCGGGGAAATTCAACTACCCCTATGACTAAGAGGAAAGAAGAATGAGAACTATCAAAGTCGAGTTTTGAAGTTGTTTAGTCACAGTTGATATGATTATGGACAATAAACTGTGTTCAAAAAGTTGTCATCCAGTAAATAATACTATTTCACCATGTGTGACATAACCAGTAAGCAATTTAACATGTATTCACCCTTATAAACAATGGAGACATATATATTGATGATTGTGAAACAGCAGGTTCCGAACGGTACCACAATTCACTATTATAAGTCAAATTCTCTCAAAACTAATAAAGCATTTAAATCAATTACGAATGTAGCTGAATTGATTTTGTAGATATTTATGTGCCTCTGATATAGGTGGTATAGCGGTTAGGACGCTCGCCGACCATGCACATGGTCAGGGGTTCGATCCCCGGCCGACGCACTACTTTACCTCGCTGAGCCAGAAATAATGCTGGTGAAAAGGAAAGGTCGGGCATGAGGCTAGCAACTCCATCCTGTAAAAATAAAACACTGCTACAGAAACTTCGAGCCACTAGCTTGAAGCCCTATGTTTCACTGGAGAACGTGAAGGAAGAAAAATATAGGAATAAGATGTTCCGGAAAATATAGTAATTATCGAATTTTTTATTAATGATCAAACTTTTACAAGAATTATTCTTCCCCTAGAGATTGAAGTGCATTCCTAAAAAATTATATTCGTAAAATCTCAGCGAGGTTGAAATGAGTAATTCCAACGTTTCGTTCGGCAATCTGGAGACGTTAAGGAATGTTTTACAACTGTTTACCCACACACACACATACACACTCTGTTTAAAGTGTTTAACAAAGGTAGACCAATATTTGTAAGTTCGAGGTCAAACTTTGATCACAGCTCATACAGTTTTGTTTATTATACTTGTTAATACTTGTTTTATATCTCATGATTGGACAAAGTTTTTAAAAACAAGTGATGTTCCTTTTATATGTAACCTGTGTTATGTTAATTTCGATTAATTTCCCTGAAGAAGTTCAGACCAGATTGCCGAACGAAACGTTGGAATTACTCATTTCAATCTCGCTGAGATTTTACAAATATAATTTTTTACAAATGTTTACTTCTCACTCGGAGCCCAAATATTTTAGAACTATTCTGTCAAATCTTGACAACAGTTCATTTGAAGTGCATTCCATTTAAAATAACATTACTTTACTAAACAGTTATCAGACTTTTATAGATTCACTTCGAGTTAGACCGCAGATTGATATCAATCAAAGGATCGCCGAAAACAAGGGAGTACTGGACAGCTGTTTCGTCCTAATTTGGGACTCATCAGTAGTACGCACACATCAGGTAACAAATCAGATCCTTGCAAATACACTTTTGAAAATCAGTCTAATACTTGCCAGTCGTAACCAGTGGAGTCAACCCGGTTGAGAGTGAGGACAAATACTCCGTCGATGAGGATGGACAGTGGTTGCTCTAAAAAATCACGAATTGGTTGAATTTAGAATTCATGGGCCGCTGAGTCGGGTTCCAGTAACTGAATAGTTTACAAGTTTGTCTTGTAACCGGAAGGTCCTAGGCTCAAAACCCGTTGGGTGCATACTGTCAGTGAGTCACAAAGTAGGACGAAACGACTGATCAGTACATTTTGTTTTTCAGTGATTCTCTAACTGATATAAATCTATGCTCAAACATGAAACAAATCAAATCCATAAATATAAACTCTTGGAAATTTATAGACTCATTTGTTTGGCAAATGATAGAAATGTTTTGAAATGATTACAGAAAATACACTTCTTGCGGAAACTGTTATAATTTATGACACTTTGTTAAAGGAATACGTCAGTATTTTAATGAGTTAGTGTATGTGAAGCCAGTGTCAAAGACTATTCAACATCCTCTGCAGTATATATATCATTTACATTATTCATGCTTCGGAAATCCTGTGTTACAGTGATGCAATGGTAGAATGCTTGCCACCTAGGCAAGTGGTCCGGGTCCAATTACCGACCAACGAACACTGAAACTTTGGCTAATTTACTAGCAGCTAGGAAAGTCAGAAAAGGGAAAGGTTTGGCGTAAGGCTAGTAACACCACCTCCTGAAAGTAACATCACGCCTATTGAAACTTCAAGGCCTGAAGCCCTATGTTCCGTTCAGAACTCAAATTAAAGGGGGAAAAATGCTTCAAAATCTGCTAACATTTGCTATATAGAAAGACTGTTGATTGGTATGTATTCAAAGTACATGTTATCCGATTTAATTCAGGAAAAGTACCCCTTGAGACACGGAGATAAGAACAAAGATTTCAGTCGAACTGTTTGTTCGTTACCATTTAGCGTAGTTCTTTGAATCTCATAATTTTCATTATGATTTTTCAATAGTATTTAAGAATATGATAGAAACTGTTTGTCTTTATCTGTGAATAATTGAAATCTTCACAGTACTGATGCCATAAGATTGGAAATTAGCACATAACATGTATTTTCTTTTCATAGAATGGATTTCAATCGATTTTTCTATTTAATATTATTATCTTCTTAGAAGAACGTTGTAAATTCAAATGTATGATATAAGTAAATGAAATATCCCCATATTGAAATCAAAACAAGATTTTGAGCGAACAATTGTTTTTGATAACTTCTTCTTCAGGCTCTACAGTTATAAATCCATGAATAATAGAGTACATACAGCCAATAAAGGCAAATGTAAATAATATCAGAAACTGTATTGGGGTGGGTGCATGTGTAGGTTGAGATGATAGTCCATTAGTTAACATAGTCAATCAAATGTGTATAGGGTGTATAGTCAGAAAAACGTGATGAAGTGTGAATGAACAATTGGGTGATATAGTGCTGTTTTATAGTCATCAGAATACAAGTGTTTTTTGGGGTGAGAGAAATGCGATAGACACAAAATGCACACAAACACACATTAACAATGGGGACACTGAATGTGGGGGCTGACCGATAATGTCTAATGATAAAATAAAGAGGCCGAATAGTAAGTTGTAATAAGATGTTACAGAGTTGGTAGGCTTAGTGTAAAATCACAAAGGTTGACAAAATTAAGGGTAATAATGAGGTGAAATAAACTGGGTGAAGAAATGGATAATAAAGACATGATATCACAGAATGATAATAATAGTAAGAGTAATACGGAAAATTATGATCCTGGTGACCTTATAGTGGGCCAGGGTAGACAGAGGGAGTGAATAAGTTTTTTCTGTACACATAAGTCTGGTCTTTCTCTATTAATCTCTAAAGCCTCAGCTATGGCTAGGAGGCGTAATCGTATGCCTTTGGGGAGGTTGTTTGGTACTCGATACACAACTGTAAGTGACTCTTCTACTTTGATGCTGTGTTCGCTATCCACTAGATGAGCCAGGATTGCACTATTTAATGATTTGGTCACTCTTTTCCCGAGCCAGACCGGGATATGTTCACGGGTGCGTAAAGATAAGTTCCTTTGGGTACGACCTATATAACTAGCTCCACAGGAGCAGTTGAATTTATATACACACATTGATGTCGTCATTTTGGGTAATCTATCTTTAATGCACGGTGTCAATATCGGTTTGGTTGAGAAAGTGATATGCAGTTTTGCGGCACTGAAAGTTCTTTCAACAGCTCTCGTTAATCTACGGTTTAATATGTCGCTGGATATATCGCCTTTGAATTGTAAATTTAAGTAAAGTTTTTTCTTACTTACTGTGTCTCGTTTAGTTTTGTGTGTAGTTTCATTGATATACTTCTTTACGAAGTTGGTATGATATAAAGAGAATGGAAATATTTGAACGTTTGTCAACTGATTTGCATTATTTTGTAGTTTTATATTTCACCGTAAATATCTGTTGGTCTGTTAGTCATTCAGTAGAAGAGTGTGAAACTCAAAAAATAATGAAAAAGCGTTTCTTCTGCGAAGTGTCTTTTGATTTTTCAATCATTCATCGTTTCTTTTTTTCAAAATTACACAACTATTTACGACTTTTATATGCTGAATCTAAGTTGACTTTGAATAATAATGAACGAATAAATCATCGTTTTATTTCTATAACGAAATGTTTTCATCGCCTTGTAATCTGAATGGAGCATATGGTTTCAAGCTTGAACTCTTTAGTTTCAGTTAAGGTGTTAGCTTTAAAGTGATAAGGTTGTTGCCCTGACGCTCAACCTTCCCTTTAATCTGGGTTTCCTGTCAGTTTCACAAGATTTAGGAGTGAGCTGGCCGACAGTCGAACCTGAGATCATGTGCATGGTTGGCAGGCATTCTGCATATTATTCATATTGATATATTGTAGCGACAGATGACAAGGGCCAGGCAACAGATGGTTTATTGAGAAAATCAACAAATATTTATATGGTTGAAGAGTCCCAAACTAGGACGAAACAGCTGTCCAGTACTCCCAGGTTTTCCAATGGTTCTCTAACTGATGTCAGCTCATGATGAAATCCTGTAACCAATCAAATCCCTACAAACCAACACTTGAAAATATTTATATCTTTTTATATACATTATTATTCGTTATTGTTAGCAGAGAGGTAACGTCTTCTGATTGGTTGTTTTCCTACTGAAGGTTATTCTGTCATCTCTTTGTGGCCGTTACTTTGAAGGCCAGACCATATATCTGCTGATCGTATCCGCCCACGCTAAGTCTACTGTGATTGGTCATTGAGTTCTTCAAGGTTAGTCTTTGTTCTTGTTTCTTCTAGTGGCTAATATTTGGGACGTAAGCATTGACGTAAATTGGTGTCTACCAATTTCGGCTAGCAGACAGCTCTCACCACAATATTATTATTTTATGATAAAAATTCAGGATGTTAACTGCTGGGTGTCATTGAATGGTTTTACTTACCTACTTGTGTTAAATACTCATATTTGACTAGTTGCTCTATTACAGACTTTTTTCATGTCATTATGAGGAGTAGAAACTCAGGTATGACTTAACACAAATCATATAATATTTATCAATCATTATTAATGATTGATTTACAATAGCTCAGCGCCAGCGACGATATGCAATCAACCAATAGATGAATTCATGTATGTAAGAATGAACATGTTATTGAAATTAGTTTCTAGTGAAGAGAGAGGTAGGAGGAAAACTTTCACTTAAAGATTCTGGAAATTCTTATACAGGCGTCCATACATTTGTACATATATAGGAGTGGATTAGCTCATCAGAGCTGACCAGAATGTTGCATAATCACGTTACTCGGTCATCAGATGAGTAGTTATATGGAGTAGAAAAAATTAATTAGAATAATGGGGAACAAACTATTCGGTAATTGGTGAGATAACTGAGTATTTTTTCAAGGTATCAAGTGTTTTAAATGTGAACGAAATGAGTGAGCGGGACGGATATGTTGTACGCATGCATACACTTTCTAAGTAAAGTTAAAAGTTTCTTTATAACGATATTAATGATACTAAAAGCGGCTGTGAAAATTACTTTCCCTACAGAGATTTGATTTATGTAGGTGAATGAAAATGTCTCCTACTGTGTAAGGAATGCGGAAAGACATCACGCGCCAGGCGGTTGCTCCATTGGAACCTGAATGGGAAATGATAAGTTGGGAGTCCGAAAGTGAAATGAGGGGGGGAGGAGATCGTGAGACGAGAAGATAAGAGCTTATGGGCGATTGTGGAGCCAACTAAAAATGACTGTGAAGAATAGGGTAAATTAGAGGTATACTTCTGGAGCCGTATGCTCTACCTGGAACCCAAGGGAATAATAAAGACAAGTCTGCTAGTACTCACTTGCTATCTCTTGTATTGACTGAGTAAGGGATATAATTTCCAATTTCATTTTCTAGTGAGACATGCTGAGTGGTGCTCAGGAGTGCACTAATGAGCTTCCCTAATTCTACACCTCATGCAACTATCTAAAAAGGAATAGTTCAACTGATAACTGTACACGGAAATGCTAGAAACAAGCAGCCAATGTTTCATTATTGTAAATCAAGCCAAAAAACTGTAGAATATACGATATAGTCCAGAAACTTGGAGTTTTCTTTTTAAAACTCTTGCTATGTATTGACTGGCATTTTTCTTGAGAATGCCATCCTTGAATTCCACTGTTAATAAGACTGGTTCCCGACGATCTCTTATCACCTTTGCCTCAACTTATTCAATATTCTTTTGCTTAGTGTCGGTTACATCACCACTCAGTAAGTTGTGAATAGTGGTGAACTCTTACTTCATAATGTCAACTTCTGTGTTAGCGTAGAGCCAGAGACTGTGATTCATTTGATAAAATTCGAGTTTTGTATAAAACATTGTGCACCACATCTATTGTATAAAGACTAAGAGTTATAAGTGGCCGTCGAGCGAAGATGATCTTGAAAGCAAAAGGCTTTATGTCCACTACTATGGGCCACTGACTCACACTCTTATTTTATAGGGAATAAAAAGACAGTTGCAGCGAAGAAAATTTTCTTTTCGACGAAGTCATCAATCGTGTATTTATAATAAATGGGTTGGAAAGTTCCAGAATAATTTCTGGTCAAGAGTCAGATTAATAAAATTACAATTAGGAATTAAATTGCCATAATAAACAGAGGAACGGATAAAGCTCAGACAAAGTAGCATCATAATTACTGAGAAGATTGACATATTGTGTGATTGGGGGTTAGAAATGTAGAAATAATAAAATGACAAAATAGACAGGAAGTTCGCATATGAAAATATGGTAGTGTAAATAGGGACTAAGAAAAACTTAAAAATAACATGAATAAACAGGAAGTTTGAATAAGAAAGGCAATGGGATAGTCACTATTAGAAGAATTATCTGTTTATGATGGCCACGGCAGAGATAAGGGTTGAACGTATTTCTTTTGGATACATAGCGTGGGTTTGAGCCATCTACATTTCTAACCCCCAATTGCACAATATGTCAATCTTCTCAGTAATTATGATGCCACTTTGTCTGAGCTTTGTCCGTCTCTGTGTTTATTATGGCATTTTAATTCCTAATTGTAATTTTATTAAGCTGACTCTTAACCAAAAATTATTCTGGAACTTTCCTACCCATTTATTATAAATACACCAATGTGCAGCCCAGTTGATGATTTTGTCGGAAAGAAAATTTTCTTCGCTGCAACTCTTATTTAATTTAAAAGTTTAGTAGAATGGTCATAAGCTGTCGAAATATAGTAGGAAAAAAAGATATCTAATAGAACAAAACAAAGAAAAACAACAAATCAAACTTACCTCTTTTTGGTGATGCTGATTTAGCCCGTCTTATAGATCCATATTCTGGATCTGAATTTGCATAAGCTTCAAAACGACGTCGACCACGTACACGTGGCTTAGGCATTTGATCACTTCTAGGCGTGCATAATACATCAGCCTTTATGTCTTGTTGATTATTCAATACTTGTTCAGCCATCATTTTTAATCGTCTTGCATCTGAACTACTGAAACCATCAAATGGTTGATCAAATATATCCAGACCAGAAGTATTTTTTGTATAGATATCATAATCCCAATGTGATTTATCCAATTCATCTATTTGATCAGCTAAACTTGATTCACAATTAGGATTGATTAGTTCAGACTGCTGCTGGTGTTGTTGTTGGTGTTGCTGCTGCTTGTTTAAATTTTGTAGTTGACCAGTAAATTGTGACTGACGGAAACCAATTAGACGTCTTAATATACTGTGTATTGCTGATAGACGGGCTTCAGCCTCTTGACGTGTAGTCAGTGTTTCATTCAACTCTGATTCTAATCCTTTTATGCATGTTTGAGATTCAGCCAGTAATGTTCGTAGTTCACTGATTACCATATTTGAATTGTCCAACTGTAATAATAAAAATAATGATTGTAACGGTACACTTTATTACGTATTAAGATTTCGATTATAGCTTGATTCCACACCGTATTTTTGCTACAAGTATGGAATTTTCAGCATGTGATATCGGTAGCCCAAATTTAGCAGACCGACCATTGATATCAGGTGTGCGTCGGCAGGGGATCGAACCCCGGACAATGTGCATGGTCGGCGACGGTCCAACCACTGTGCCACCGCCGCACAATTGTCATTGAATAATAACAGGTATATTTTTGTGATCGTAAATCTTTATCATGAACTGAAGTGTAGTTATTTCGGTAATATAATGCTGCTTTTTTATCCTCTTGACCTAATTTATCTGAGTAAACTGGAGAGTTAGTCATGGTCTGAGTGTTGTAGTGATTAGATTTTTATCATTTTTTTATATTTTATTCCCTGACGTTCCTAGTGAAACATAAGGCTTCAAGCTATAGCTTCGATGTTTCGCTAGCAGGGTTGTTTATTTTTACGGGATGGGGTTGCTAGCCTCATGGCCAACCCACCCTCTTTACCAGTCATTACTGACTTAAGGCGGTAAAGGATTACGTTAGGCGGGGATTGAACCCTGAACCGCCTAGATGGTGGGTCAGTATTCTACCGCTGTGCAATCGATGCATCTCTTAAATACAGGAGTTTTGAAAGAGTTCTGTTAGTGATTGAATGAAAACCAAATGTAAGGCTTTTTATTAATTGTCGCATGATTTAAAATTGACATATTACTGAATAAGTTTTCGTTTAACTTTACTAAGTGAAAGGCTTCCTCTTTTTAGGCAAGTTACCACCATACTTGACGACTTCACATTCATTGATCGAAAACACGGAAATCTTAGTTCAGTGAGGATAAAAAAGATTCTCTCTTTGTTCATGGAAATTGTAGGACTTTTGTAACTCAAGATGATGCCAATAAAACAAGACCACTACTCAAACGTGAAGGGACCAAATTGAATATTTTTACGACTTTACGTTATCACTAATGATCGGTAGATCAGCTGTCGGTGGCACAGCGATTAAGACTGTTGCCGACCATGCACATGGTCCGGGGTTCGATCCCCTTCCAAAGCACAGTACTGCTCTTAATCTTTTATTTATTTATAATCGTCAACGTATCTATAGTAGGCTGTTGTTTCGACAATTGCACACTTGAGCTTTGTCTGTTACAGACTGGCCATTAAAATATCAGCTAATATCAGACCCAGTGGACTCCTCATTGCCATTCCATCAACCTGGCGATACATTTTGTTGTCAAACTGGAATTGTATATCATTAGTACATAACACGAGAAGCTGCTTAAATTCCAGTTTTGGTAGAGGAAGAAGATCAGAGTGTTGACAGATGATGTCTAATGTCTCATGCAGAGGGATTTGCGTGAATACAGAAGTCACATCGAAGGAAACCATGATTTTGTCATGTACATTGAGTTGATTCACCTCTTCAACAAATTGGAACGAGTCTTTTAGAGTATGTTTAGCTAGACGTTGTCTGACAGGTTCTAACCTATCGGCTAACTAGCGAGCAACTTTGAGAAAGTGTGAATTCACCATTGAGAGTATTGGTCATTTGGACAATTCTTTTTGTATACCTTCGGCAGACCATACATATATGGTAGACGAGACCCCATGGGTTTTAACTCATTGTACGCATGATTGTCAATCATTTTCTTTTTCAATAGCTCTCGGAGTACTTTCGCGACTTTATTTTCTGCCGAATCCGTCATATCCTCCTTGCAGTTATCAATCTTAAATTTCAACGTGTCATTCAGAATGGACTCCATTTTTGGACATATTCAGCCTTGTTCTTCACTACCATGCGTGAACCTTTGTCTGGTCACAGTATGAAGATGCCTTCATTGTTGAGCAGACGTTTAATTGCTTTTTGGTGTTCTTTCGTCATGATTCTAGACTCTTGAATTGGTGAGCATAGGTACTGGTTAGAGATATCAGCTAGTCTTGATTTGAACCAACCTTTCTTATCTTCACTAACGGGATGTAAGTTGGTTAACTGGTTGAATAAATTCTCGAATCGGGCTTCTGTGTCTATTTTATTCACAAATTTTCTCGGAGCTTGAAACCAAGTGAAAGTGCCTCAATTTCAGTTTGATTTATCTGAGATCGACTAGAGCTTTAAAATCAGAGATATTACTCAGTAAAATGCTTCAGCAAGTTCAAAAAACTGTTATTTACTATATCGAAACTACTGAACCGGTGTAGTGTTTTATGTAGATTTACCTGTTTAGAAATCATAGATTTCATTCGTTGCATTCGGAGTGGAACACAAAGCTTCAAGCCTTGAAGTTTCAGCAGTAGTAATGAAGTTGCCAACCTCTCACTCAACATTCCACCTTTTCTGAACTTACTATTGGCTGGTAAACTGGGTGACGTTCAGGAGTGAATAAGCCGGGAATAGAACCTGGACTACTTGCGCAGCTGGCGAGCACTCTGCTACTGAATCACCATCTAATTTTTATTTGATGGTACTCATCAAATTATATGCACTCGCAAGTATTTTAAAATTTAATATAATTCCTGAGCTAAGATAAATAAATTTGTAATTGGAACCATCTTGAAGCTGTGACCTACATGCAGCCAAAATAAATGTTCACAGCTTCGGAAATTTCACAGTGGACACCAAATGCCAAACTTTCGTTCTTCATATTTAACAATTTATTTCCAAAGATGTGAAGGAGAACATGAGTTCCTATGATGTCACAAGTTACAAAAGTCATTACATCCAGACACAATTTTTCCTGTCATTTACGTGAATGCATTCAGTAAAAGTACAGCGGTAAGCTAATGAAATATGAAATAATTAGTGTGAGTAACAAAAAAGCTGAGAAAAATAGTCAAAAATTGAATATGTATATATTAAATTAAAATCAACTTTCAAAAATCACATACTTTAGCCTGTAAATTTTTTCTGGATTCAGTTAAACGTTGATAATCTCTTTGCCAATCCTCAGCAGCTTGGTTGGCTGTTCTTTCTCTTGAACGCAGAATTTCCTCCAATTCAGACATTTGATGATTTAAGTCAGATAATTCTGATTGTAGAGTTGATTTTGAAGCTTCAATTTCTAAAAGTTTTTGTTTCAGTGCTATTTTTTCACTGTTGTATATAAATGAAGGAAAGATAAAAATACGTATGCATAGTATCAGTAGGGTAGAAATGTGATTATCACCGTCACAGAAGACAATTAAATTAAAGAATTGAGCGTATACTGTGATTTGTTAGGGTAGGAAAGTAAACTTGGCTGTAAGAATTTATATGATAGAGAAGTCTACTTGATCTTTCGGAATCTACAAGGTTGCACGTTATGTGGAAGATGGAATTTACAACCCATTTGGTTACTGATCGATGGTTTTTGCGAGAAATTTATTAAAAGGACGTTAGATGACTATTCAATGATAATTTAGAAAGTGAAGCTGTGTGACACGTATATTCACGTATTATGTTAGCTCCTGATGACTCTTCCAAGGTACTTCTTTCAGTTCCAATTGCGGTGAGACTACCTGAGATAGTCTTGGATACTATGATGCGTAGGATTATGACTGAATGTGGAATAAATACATGGGTTGCCACAGGAATGGAACAACTAATCTCTGGATTACTAACTCTCAAATGGTTCAAATCATGTAACAATTCAGGATTTTACTTCATCATTTCATGCAAAGTAACTATTGAATTTGTCATCATTCTCTGGTTCATTGGAAGGGACATGATAATAATCTCCCAACGATTACACTTCAAAACAAGTATCATATAAAAGTTTACAATGTCTGTCTTTCTGAAGTGTGAAAATAAATGCACTTCAGGTAATATTTAGAGGAAAAAAAATACCCAATAATCTCTTCACTTTAAATTATGTACTGCTTTGCTTATATGCCAACAGTAGATACAATTCCGTGTCGCTGACTATTCCAAAGTAAGAGTCAATTAAACACACACGTACAACAAATACTGTAATAATCTCTGTCGGTACATGCCGACGTTATTATAGATTAATTTGTTTCTATAACTTTTAATTCAGTGCATTATATGTGTCACAGTTTTACTACAGAAACACTGACAGCAGCAATGCACTGTAATCACTATTGTTTGAACATAATTAACTGACTGTCTGGTTCCAACATACAACTTTGCACAGATGCGCAGTAATTCGACTCACCACAATTCATTTATCAAACAAAGCAAGAGAAGAAAGTCAAAATAGTTTGGTTGGAGGATTTCATCATGAGCTGACATCAGTTACAGAACCATTCGAAAACCTGGGAGTACTGGACAGATGTTCAAACCCCGGTGGGCGCGTACTGAGGAAGAGTCCCAAACTAGGACGAAACAGCTGTTCAGTACTCCCAGATTTTCCAATGGTTCTCTAACTGATGTCAGCTCCTGATGAAATCCTCCAATCAGTCAGACAGAAGTCCCTAAAAAACAATACTTAAAGATATATTCAATAGAAGGATAATAAACAGAGATATGAGGGAGAAATAATAGTAATATGGAAGAGCAATGCAGTTTCATTGGATATTATAAGTCACAATGAATAGATGTATCTGCGCCAGTCACTGAGAACGATTTCAAGCCATACAACAAATTGTCTCCAGCCATTGGTGCTTGCCATCCCGAGGACCCCAACCATTCAGGAAGTCTACATCTTCCTACGTGGTTGGCTTAAACTAACGGCTGTGGATTTCATTGTCTGATGAAGCCATGTTTTGGTTTGGCCACCACTGGCTCATTTCCAAACTGACACTATGTCAGCTACCACTGTCCGTCGAGGAAGAAGATGGATGGTTAGGTGCATGCATGCGTAACACATGTCCTAACCATCTCTCTCAATCGATGTAACTTCACAGTTTCATCTGCTGATTTTCCCTCCTTACATAGCACTCAACGCCTAACCTGAATATTGTTCACCCTATTATGCCACTTCACACGGAAGATAGAACTCAGGCACATATTATTAAAGACAGCTAGCCAAGCTTTACATGTCTTCCACTTTAGATGGCCAGGTCTCACAGCCATAAAGGAGGACAGGGTGGACTGCTGATCAGTACACCCACCCTTTGGTTCACAGCCAGCTGGATATCGCGTCTACGTGAGAGATGGCGTAAACTGGCATATGCAAAACTAGCCCTCTGTATCCATGCTGAGATTTCGTCAGTGATCAACCGGCTGGCGTTGGCTGATGCAACTTCCCAAATAAGTGAAGTGGTCAAAAGGCTCTACCATTTCATTCCCTATTTATAATCTAGGAGTCAATGTTGTCTAGTCCTGAAGCATCCCTTTACATTTGACAGGAGCGAACTGCAAGACAAACATACTGAGATTGCCGCTCAAGGTGTTTATAAGATTCTGCATCTTGTCAGCGTCTTCACCTACAAGGACTTTATCAGCCACATGCATATTCTAAGTCAACGAGATTATTACCTGGTAGTAAGCCAATCCCTGAGTCGCTGAATTCAGTTAGGGTTGAGTCCATTAGTATATCCATGATAAAATTAAACGAGAATGGGTACAGTTGGCATCACTAACAGACACCACTATTTGTCACCACTTCAGATGACAACTCTCTGTAGGTTCTCACCTGCCTGGCTGCATGAGTTCGAGTAGAGTGCCCTGATCAGTGCGATGTACTTCCTTGTCACTTCCTTCATTGCCAAACATTATCGTAATGCCTCTCCGTCAACGGAGTTAAATTCTTACTTCAAGCCAAGAAATATAACGACTGCTGGAAGTCAGTAAATATGCCTATGTTCCAGAATCTGTCGAAGGAGGAAGATATGACAGATACTTCCCCTTCCTGGTCTAAAGCCTGCATGGTTCTTACTTGTTTACTCCCCCTGTGCATATAGGGATAATCAATGAATTACACTAGCCTGACGGGACTATCTCTGATTCCCAGACGCTGCCTAATGCCGTAGTTAACGCAGACAGTAGGCGGTCTCCACTGTACTTAAATACCTCTGCAGTCATCCCATCGGGTTCCGCTGCTTTGCCTCATTTCAGACTAGTAACAGCATTAATAATCTCAGTTAAAGACGGAGGACCTGTGTCTTTATCCTATTCAGGGATGTGTTGGATAATGGGTAGGATAAGCGTGGCTGTAAGCCAATTAAATTGCCCCACAAAAAGTTCTTCTCAGCGCCATCTGTCCTGGCATCTAATTAAAGCTGAACATAAAACGCAGAATACTATCGATAAAAATTAGTGCCAACTGATAATGAATTAAATACATTAATAAAGTGAAGGTTGGGGTAAGTTAGTAAATGCAAGTTTAATATTTTATGTTTGTAGTGATGTTCATCCACAAGTCAACTTATGAAGGGCTAACACAATTACAATTAGAAAGGTGAATATTTCAGTACACAAAACTATCTCATTCCTTATAGTTCTTATATGCTTCAACTCATAAAAGTGCGTCGGTGACCAACTCGTAGAATGTTCGCCAGCCAGTAACGTGGTCCGGGTTTTGATTTCTGGCCAACTCACTTCTAAACCTTACCCAATTTACTAGCCAATAGTAAACCAAGTAAAGAGTGAAGACTAGGCATGAGGTTAGCCACCCTACCCAGTAAAGAAATGGCTATTGAATCCTTAAGGCTTCAAGCTTGAATCTCTATGTTCCACTCAGAACGTAAGTGAATCAATGAGTAACCATAAATACGCTAAACAACAGTTCTGCAGTTCAAAACTGCAAGATATACACCAAATATTTGTGTAATCTCCTATTTCAAGGGGAAAATTTGTCGAAACGTTGATGCCTTTTAAAAATTTCGAATCTATCAGTATACTGACTAGCACGTTTTTTTTAAACGAGTAATAATAATAAAGAATGATGTAAAGACCTAGTCTGGTTCCATCCTTACTATTATGCAAGTGTAGGAAAGTTATATTATCATAACAACAAGTAGTGATAATTATAATCTTGATGTTAGATGGTTAGAGACAGTCGCTAGGAAGCCTTGGACATCAGTCTCGTACTTGTTGGGACTCATCAGTAAAATGCATCTGCAAACTTGAAGCGACTGGTGTTTCCTTTAGGATTGGAACTAGTATCACTAAGTGGTGTAGTCGTCACTACTGAGATATTCGGGTTTATGACTAACCTCACGTAGGGCTATAATGGATATAGTGACTGGTCGCTATGGAGTAAACAATGTCATTCGTTTAATCCTCGGAGAAGGTGCTGATTGAATTAGATTAGACGAGTTTGTGGGCTTAATTTTGGTATCTGTTTAACAAAAATCAGCACTTAAGATCTTGAAGTAGATACTACTGTTAAATTAGGTTTCCACAGTGGAGGGTTCAAAAGTGCTTTGTCAGTGATTCTAGCTAACTTTATACCAGTGAAATATTCAGTTTGTTACAACGGAGGGATACACTGATCAGATTTAACAAATAAAATAAATTAAAATGAAATTGAGATATTAGTGATAGACGTTCACATTATGAAATCTTCAAAGATAATAGACAACAAACCGTTTTAAATTTTCTTCTTGATTTGCACTTTCTTTTAATCGAACCTTCAAATCTTCAATTTCTTCAGTTAATTTAGCCTTTTCCGACTCAACTTTTTGAAGTTTGTTTCGCAAATCTATAATTTCACGTTTAGCTTCACTGGCTAAATTCGTGGCCTCTTTTAAACCGACTTGTAAATCGGCTACACGTCTTTCTGACGATGTTCGATCCATTTCAGTACCTTGAAGTTTTGATTTCAGTGTATTGGTCATACGAACTAAATCGACACGTTCTAGTTCAACACATTTCAGCTGTTTTCTCAGTTCGTCATTGGAATAATTTAATGCATTTTTCTCACGTTCTAGTTCACCAAGTCTTTGACGTAGTTCACTGCATTCTCTTCTAGAAGAATCATTTGTTTCTTCCACTAAATGTAACAAAGTAGATTTAGATAAACTGAGTTAATATAGGTCGTAAAATGCCAATAAATTTTAGAAATATTCAAAGATTTAACTATAAAAATTCAGTGTAGTAAAAAGCAACACATTATACCTGGGTGAAATAAAATATCCTTTCCAAGTTAGATCACAAACTGATAACAGTTAGAGTATCAGCGAAATCCACGGAGTACTGGACAGCTGTTTCCTCCTAATCTGAGTCTCTTCAGAAGTACGCGCCGATGACTTCACCGAAGAGTGAACTGATGACCTTTAGGTTACCAGAAGATCCCGCTGTGAGAACAGATACTCACCAACGATACTGGCTGTTGGGGCCTCTATATATCGGGAATTCGTGGGAGTTAGAACTTCCAAGCCATTGCATTGCTTCTGAGTAGGAAAATGATTAACGAGCTCACCTCATAACTTGATGGTGATAGGTTTCATTCTCAGGCGGATCATCAAAGCATACTTATGAAGAGTCCTACCAAACTAGGACGAAACATCTTTGAAACACTCCCTGGATTTCAGTGGTCCTCCGACTAACATCAGTTTGTGATCTAAATTGATATCAATTAAGCCGCAGTCAAACTAGTAACTGAAAATCTTTATTTGTTCATTTTATACTTCCAGTAATAGAAAATCGCTATCAACTTATGAAATACTAATTGGCTAACAAGCTTGTTACATTATCAGTGCATTCCTAGAGTCTGGTATTTATCACCTAGTGTCAACACACTGACTGCCCTAATAATTTACACTGAGGTGTGCCAACTACCGAGTCGGCTATAAATAAGTGAGATGATCTTTCATTACCTAAATCAAGCTGAATTCCCTGATAAAACTGATGGCCACTGTAGTGGAACTATTTATATCAACTAGAATACTTTTTATTATTTTAGTGCATATGTGCTAAATCACTATGACTGCTGGTTCTATAATAATAATAATAATCACTTTATTCCACAACAATAACAATTTACAGCATGGAATTTTCAGCGTTTCATTTTACATATTGCATTGGTTTAGCTCTTTTTATAATTATATAAATGTATGAAATGTTAAAAATATTGATAATTAATAGGAAAAAATAAAAACCCCAACAAAATCACACCATTTCTAGGTCATAGTGAATAATAAATAAATAATATAACAAATCACACATGCAATAATATGCATCATTACATTTTATAGTTTAGTTAATGATTTAAAAGTTGTAAAAGTTCTTTTCTGATATTTGTCTCTTCACACAATACTCGTGCCAAATATGGTACGGTCGAATTTTTATATTTTGTAGTACGAGCGTAAATGTTTATGAAATTTCTTCTGGTCTTACCCGAAGAGATACAAGGAAACAATTGTGAATAAAGAGGATGTTCACTATCAGACAAAATAACTTTAGCTAAGTGTTTACAAGAATTCATGTGCCTATTGACAACAGTGTCGGTTAGTTGAGTCTAGTTTGTTTACTATTTACTTTCCACTAACGATTTGAAAATAATCGCATTAAATACTGTTAGTACTACTGTGGCGTGTGCCACTGGCAAGATTTATCAGTAGTATATAAAGGGACGTTCATCAGCACTAAATATCAGATAGCAGAGTGATAGATTTGACATCAAAGAGAAGAAATGAATCAGTATTGAGGCAAAACATGGAAGACACGTGAAGAAGACAAGGAGAACCAATGCACTGGACAAGAGTAACACAACACGGTAAATCTGTGGAAATGACGATTCTATATGTTATAGACATGATTTTCGTATGTGTGTATATTAAAGTGCAGAGAGACATTCCGTTACCAATTCTCTTCTCTTCTCCCGTTACACTATAAATATCAAGGTTCAGAAGTTTGTCTGAGGTTAGCGTAAACCTGTTTAACGGTTCATAAGACAAGAAGCATATTCTTTCAATAAATTTCTCGCTTCTGCTTAGCAAACGAACCACTAGACACGTGAAATTAGTTACTACCTAATATTCCATCGAATTGTCTCTTATAATCCTACAGGACATCAGTCCAGAGCTCGAAAAGTTCATTGGTGACATTTCGGAGTGTACCACTGAGTGATACAGATTCGTGTCTCGTAAGGGACATGAGTTCCTTGCTGATGAGTGTCAACAAGCACAAAACCAAGGTCCAAGGTTTCTTACTCATTACCTTCAACTATCTAATAACCATAAAACAAATCCATATCATGTATTCATCAGCCACTGGATTGGATTCCAGTGCATAATGTTCTTCAGGCTCGACTTGTAGCTGGAAGGTCCTGGGTTCGAATCCTAGTGGTGTTTACTGTTGAGATGTCTCAAGTTAGGACGAAATAGTACTCCCTATTTCTTCAGTGGTTCCCTATCCAGTATCATCTCTTGACCAAGCCTGCAACAAACCATACAGACGTACGTAGTTTAACAATAAATTGATTATCATTGTAGAAACGGAATCGATTGAATGATAATTATTAATTTGTTAATCACTCATACAACTAGTCTTACTAGATTAGCTTTCCGGTGCAGTTGAAGGGACTCTTTTAGTTATTTGGTCACACAGACAGAATTCATCAGTGATATTCAATGATGAAAGTTTTAAAGTATAATTCACGGATTGCCTATTCACTCTTCCAGTGACAATACGTTTGTCTTGAAACCTGAACCGCCTAGACTCCATCTCGCCTAAGTACTCACTACTCAGGAGTTGAGAAATGGGATTAAATAGCATTTTATGGATTTCGAAGCTGATATCAGCTTATGTCACTAGCAATAGTTGTTTATAACAACGATATAAAATAAGACAGGAAGAAAGCAGTAAATATATTTGAAGCGTAAAATGTATGGCTATGAATGCAGCAAAATATAGTAGAAGTAAGGCTGAAAAGCTCAGCATGAAATTATGACTTGGATATCAGCGGTATCTTGTGCCTTAAGTGACAGAACATCAAACTGTTAATTCAGGGGCCGGTACCACAGTATTTTAAGTGAAAATTTTCAATAGCTTACTAAAAACATGATTATTCTAGAATATGATTTCTTCGATGTGTCTACTTGCATATTGGTGTTATGCAACAAAAGCCTTTAGTACACGGTGTGGTGGCTGAAAAGTATATCGAATTATACGTTCACCGAAAAATAGTAAAAATACGGAATTCAAAGAAATTCGTGGTTGTTATGTGAGATTGAACAAGGACACAACCTGGTTTCCGCGCGCAACACGGACGAAGCTTCCTTCTCTCCAGCTTCTCGCTTATCCCGTTTGTCAACCAACTCTGCCTCGTACCAATCCACATTAGGATACTTCGCTCCAGCCTACTTTTCTCTACGCAAGTGCTCTCCGGCAGTTTGCATCTCTAGTGTGTAGTTGAGGATTTGCATTCTCAAGAAAAGGACAATTTCATCCCTATCACTTTGTACGTCTATATTTTGAGTATTTTGGGACTATTATAGTTTTTTTCAAATAACACCATTTTTTGTGTATGTTAACTTAAGTGGAATGAATACCCTATATATACATGTATGTTAGTATTTGTTCTGTCCTTTTTAATTGCGCGTATGAACATACTTAGTCGTTTAGTCCACTACAACGGTTGTTTAGTTAGCCTTAATTATGAAGTTCCCTATATTACTTATGAGATTTATTTTTTGGTCTTAAATTCTTAAAAATACAATACAACTTTCTAAATTAACTACAAGTTAGTCAATTTTTTAGAGTAATAATAAAACTTACAAGCACGAATACGACATGTACTATCGACTAATTCTGTACGATTAGTATCTCTAACTTCTTCAGCCATTCTTATCTGTAATTGAAGTTCACTGACTTCTTTGGTCCAATGATCTCGTTGACTTTCAAGACTGTGTATACGCATACGTAATTCACGATTCTCTCTTTCATGTTCTGAACTGTAGAAAAAGAAATAAAGATGCTAAAGCTGAGGACGCTGATATGTCAGGAGTTTATATATATATATACATATAGAATTCATATGGTTAATTACATTTACATCCTGGAGAGACTAGAAGATGCAGAACTCCGACCTGAACAAGCTGGATTCAGGAGAAGCAAATAATGTACGAGTGAAGTTGCGGCCTTACATATCATCATCGAACAGAGCATTGAGTGGCAGTCAAATATCTACCCCAACTTCATTGACTATAGAAAGACCTTTAACGGAGTTGACCACGAAGGAGTTACGAAAGGATTTCAACACTACAGCATTTCGCAACTCTTTATCAACATCTTTCAACAGCTATGTGACAATGGCACATGTTAGGTGAGTCACAGCAGACAACTCGGCAATGCGTCTGAAGTGAAGAAAAGAGTAGGAAAAGGCTGCTTACTACCACCGATGGTATTTCCGATTGTGACGGATTGGATTATGCAGCACGCCATGCGTAGGGAGGAAAGTTACGCTTACGACCCAAGAAGAACTGAACTTTGCAGATGATTTATGTCTAGTGCCACACAAGCTCGAAGACTTAAAGGCGAAAACCAAAAAGCTGAGAGAAGAAGCGGTCAACGAAGACAGGATTTCAAGCTAACTTAGTGGAAATGGGGTTGATGAAGAAAACCAACCAAAAACAATAAGCACGAATCACTATCAGTGGGAGAGATTTGAACGAAGTTACTCCCTTCACTTATCTAGGTACAATCCTTTTAACTATAGTTGGAACGGATTCGGAAAGGGCAGGACAGAGCTTCATCACTCTGAAATCATTTTGGAAATCTTTTGCATTCAGAATAAGGAACAAGATTCAGATTTTCAACAGCCATGTTAAATCACTTCTTTTGTATGGGTCAGAAATTTTGCACGTAACAAAAGCCATTTCGAACAGATCTCAGAATTTTATTAACAGCTGCCTTCTCTGGCTGTATACTGAAGATCAAATGGCCAACCATAAAGAATTAGCGACAGGAAACTCTGGGAACGAGTCTATTGCTCATTAAATATGCAGGAGAAAGTGAGGATGGATCGGACACAAGCTGAAGAGACTGCTGAGGGAAGCCAGGTACCCGGCCGTCAAGTGGAACCACAGAAGAGGAGGACTGCAGAGAACTAGACAAGGTGGAGGTGTTGTTTTGAAGCCCTATGTTCCTCTCGGAACCCAAGGGAATAATAATATTACATTTCTATGAAGTTTTTATTATTATGCAAATGGTGAATGATTATTAGTTCTAACCATGTTGCACCGAAGAGTGATTGATAACGTTTTCCTACTCAAAATGTCGTTCGTTGGATTAATCCAGTGTAAGGATTACAGGTCCATTGGATTTAAATGGATAAGTCCCTCACTAATTGGAATCACTCTATACTGACGATAATATTCGTAATATTTATAGCGAAGCATTTCCTGATCGAAAATTTAGGAAGCGTACAGCTGAGATTTCCAAAAAAAGTCAGAAACTGCATACACAAATTTGAATTCAGTAACATTTTAGCCGATGAAAACTAACAGAAACTACATTAAATAAGCAGTATACTGTTCAACGTCATTTTTAAATGCTGCAAGGTTATTCAACTTCATAAATTTATAAGTAGACTAGAATTCAGCCGTAATCATCCTAGTTTATTTGTATAACCTGTCATCATACCGGATACTGTCAACGTTATCCTCTCTAAAAACAAACACATGTTTCCTCTATTCTTCATTCTACGTATAAATGCTCTAAAAGTATGGATTCCAGTGAGACATATTGAAAAAAGAAACATAACTGAAATACGCCTGTGATTGGTCGGTTAGTCTTCTAAATTTATAATGGAAAGGAATTAGGAATTGAAATCATAGTATATCTCCTGATATATCCAATCAAATAAACCGTTAGAGAGTATGCTAAAAAAATTTAGAGGATTCTTTTATGGCAGTAAAGTCCGTGGTAAAATTATTCAGGTTGATCTAAGGTTTTCCCCACAGAGAAATTAAACCCATGCCGAACTCATGGGTTGTAGTAGTAGGCTGGAGTCACCCAGAATGGTAAAACACAAAGCAGCGAGATATAAAGATGTTTAGAGGGAATTAAGAGAAAAAGGTGCGTCGGTGGCACAGTGGTTAGGACGCTCGCCGACCACGCACATGGTCCGGGGTTCGATCCCCGGTCGACGCACTTCTTTACCTTACTAGTCCTGAAATAAAAGCTGGTAAAGAGGAAACGTTGGGCATGGGGCTAGCAACCCCATCTTGTAAAATAAACACTGCTAAAGAAATTAAATTGGTGGGTGGTGACTAGCAGTGGAATCCAGGATGCGCATTTCGTCCTATTTGGGACTCGTCATATGGATGTACCTGCGTTTCTCTGTAAGTGATTATGTTCTGATATGTCAACCTGAGAGCGAGCACTTCAGTTCAATCAGTCGAGGGGAAAATCTAAAATCCAATTAAATTAATGTGACCCGTTGCACAAGAGGTGGCTGTCGTGGCCCAAGTGGTCTAGTGGATAACACTTTGGCGTTTGAAACCATGGTCACTGGGTTCGAGCCTCTTTGGGAACATCATCATTCACTGAGAAATGCAGGTACATCCATATGACGAGTCCCGAATAGGACGAAATGCGCATCCTGGATTCCACTGCTAGTCACCATCCACCAATTAAATACTAATTAAATGCCCAGACATCGTCGAAGCATCTGCTCAAGAAGCCGACATGTCAACCTAAGACCGAGCACTTCGGTCCAATCAATCGACTGGAAAATCCAAAATTGAATTATACTGCTAAAGGAACTTCAAGCCCTTAGCTTGAAGCCCTATGTTCCACTGGGAACGTGAAGGAATAGAAAAAAAAGTTTCTTTGGTGGTTTAGTGGTAGAATGTTGGCCAATCACGCACATGGTTCGAGTTCGATTCAAGGCCGATGCACTCCCAAACCTCACTAAGCATGTAACAAGTCCAGAAGGGAGGGAAGGTTAAGAGTGAGGCTAACACCCACATTCAGTATAAAAAACGGTACGGTTGTCAAAACTTCAGGGCTGCAATGCACAGGAGCGTGGGAAAGTGAAGAAATCTAGGAAAACAATTATCCGTGGCACAAAGTACCGTCACATAAAATCATATGACAGAGACAGATATTCTGCTCGATACTACTGCTAACAGTTTTACGTCATTGTTTCAATTCACAATAGATCGAATAACGACTTTAGGTTCTTTAAATAAACAGAAATTTTCTACACGAAATAATTAACCAGAGGTATTTCATGAATGCTTTTCCAACATTATTTAGAATAAGAGCCAACCAATATCGTACAGTCTCATATCACTGATTTAAATAGAAACTAATAAAGTACCTTGTAGTAGAAGAAACATGCCAGGGAAGACAAAAGAAAATATTAAGAAGCTATGACAAGTGAAGCAGAAAAAGCTGCAGGCAAAGAAGACCTTGAAACACTCTATCAATCAACTAGGTTCCTGTCAGGGTAAAGTTCAACACAAATTAAGCCAGTGAAGGTTGACAATGGGTAGTCAATCACCAAAGAGGTGGAGCAAAGGGAAAACTGAGTTGAACACTTCAAAAGACTTCTTAATCAACTGTCACCTACAACGCGCACAATAATAACAACAGCGGAAGCAGAACTACTAGTGGACATCAACCCTCCGACGAAAACAGAAATCCTGAAGGTCATAAAGATGCTAAAAACTGAAAAAGTAGCAGGACCAGACGCAATACCCACAGAAGCATTGAAAATGGACTTCGAGACATCAGCCGACTTGATGATACCGCTACTGGAGGTGTGGAAAGAAGTTAGAGTACCTGTGGATTCAAGCTGCTAAAGAAGGGAGACTTAAGTCAATGCAAAAACTGGCGTGGCATTATGCTCCTGTCCATCCCAAGCAAAATACTAAGCTGCATCATCCTGGAGAGAATCAAACATGCCAACCTGGATGAAAAACTTCGACCGGAACAGGCTGGATTCAGGAGAAACAAGTCATGCATTGATCAAATCGCAACACTATGGATCATAACTGAACAGAGCTTGAAATGGCAGTCAGCTCTCTATCTCAACTTCATTGACTTTGGAAAGGCATTCGACAACGTAGAAGAGAGCTCGTTATCTAGTTAGCTGCAAATAAGTCATTTATCTTAATCAGTAGCTTGACAAATCAGAAATTTATAAGATGAGCGCTTTGATCTTGGGACTCCTCATGTTTCCATTTAGGATTAGATTATTACCACTCCATTAATCTAACTGTGGTAAAAATGCTATGCATAACAGATTATGAATACTTTAAATATTCATTAAAATATTCATAAAAGAATATAGAAGGATTTAATGTAAATAGTAATACTGATAACTTACCATGCTTCTTGTAATTGATTTCTGAAACTTCGAACCTCTTCTGTAGCTTTTCTTAAAGCGGATCTCTCTTGATCTTCACGAACACTTGCATCTTTTTGTGTCCTATCCAGTGTAATTTGTAATTCTGTGATCTATTTGAAGGTAAGTATAAATTCATTAAAGATTTCCAATTTGTAAATGAACCTTAGTAATTTCAGAATAAAGTTTTAGACATTAAATTAAACCATTTAGACTCACTCAGTGACGGCTTCATTCTGCATATTAATTCCACTGTATATTTCTTAACCTCATTCACTATTGTACCTACAGGCTTCTTAATTTCCTCATATGGACCCGTCTTATTATGTTCAGTGACTTTCTTGATATAGTCAGATTTATCCAAAACTACTGTGGAGTTTCCTTTGTCGGCTTTTGCGATGACAATGTTTTTATCCTGTTTCAGACTAATTAGAGCTTCTCTTTATGTTGTTGCTAAGTTTGATTTTCCCCTCTTTTGATTTTTCAGGGTTAATGCACATTGTGCTTGAACCTCTTCTACTGTCGTCTTATCTATTGAGCCTAGTGCTACTTCTTTGTTAGGAATGACATCCTCTGGTTTTAATTGACTAACTGTTACATTGAAATTTAGTCCTTTCTCAAGTACTTTTATCTCACTAGAGCTTAGTTCCCTTGATGAGAGGTTGATCACCCATTTTGTTCTGTCGATAGAGGATAAAGCGTTGACATCAATTTTATTTATTGTGTTCTTTTCTTCCATTAGTTTGTTTTATTTTTTTATTTTTTTAAAATGCTCATTCTGTAGCTTTTTTCGATGTTTCAACAACAATTACATAATCTTTGTCATTGACCATACATTTGAGTTTTTCAATTTCATTCCACATATTATTTAGTTTCACAGTAATTCGATGTAGTTCTTCTCTTAGACATAATCTAATGACATGTTCGGCTGCTGATGTTATTTTTCTTGATGTAATTGGAGTACGTATGCGTAAACATTTTAGAATTATATAATTTTTTAAACATCGACTGTTAAAAATCCGATGGTTTGTGAATCTTGCTTCTGTTTGAAAAAGTCGTGTGTCACGACTTCGTCATTCAGAATAAATTCTTTAGAAACTGTACTATTCTTTGGTAAGCGCTGAGTGAGAAAGGTAAGTTTTATGTGTTAGATGGTCGGAGGCAATCGGTAGGAAGCAGTGGGTTTCCTTCTACCACTCACAACTATTTAAAGCGCACCACGATGGTGAGCTATCTAGCTCAGTGACCGAATTGCAAAGTTGACTGATAGAATTCGATCTGGGCCAACACCAAGAGCTGAACGCATGATATTGGTCAAACGCTAGTGACCAATCAATTTAAGTTTTGCGTATTCTTAGAATTATCCTTCTTGTAATTTTTTGATGCCATTCCAAATTTCTGAACTCATAAACAATGTTTTATTGTTTTAGTTTGTTATAATGTGTCAAAAAATATCTAATTAAGTAGACTGTCTATTTTGATAAAGTCAGAAAGCTACGGTGTCTGTGTACAGTCTGTCGTCTACTGATTGACACTGTTGATGAATTGTTTCAGATAAAGTATGAGCCATATATAAAACTGAGAGCAACCAATGAAACAATATGACTACTGATGAATGGTGACGAGATTATATCAACTATATGTAAAAAGAGTTTAGCAAACTATTACGGGGCCTAAGTTTTAAGCATATGGAGTTTATGAGATTTCTTCCTGATAACATTCAATGTAATAAACCAATATATATAGACCATATCATATAGACCATTGCTGCTGAGAAACTGGTCAGTTAAGACATACGAATAGCTGAGTCCTGTTTTTGCCCTTATAAGAATTGTTCGTAATGCCTTGCCTTAGCAGGTAATAATAGAAATGAATATTGAAAATTTCGCATATATACTTTTATTTTTACTAAATATCAAGGCACTATCCAGTTTAATTGAAAGACAAGTTCAAACGTGAATACTTTTTTGCATTTATTCTATAAATTGTTCAAAATACACTTCTGGTGTTCCAATATTTCTTAGAATTATAGCCGATTCTGAAGATTGGATTTCCAGAAAGGACAGATAGCAGGGAACTGTGGCAGACTGCTAAAAAATATGCAGAATCAAATAGAGATGGATTGGGCATACACAGAGGAGGTATTAAAATGCTTTAACATGCCAGGCGGGCTTCATAGTGGAAACGGAATGGAAAGCAACGGGTTCGACGTATGTCCGAGGGTGAAGAGGAAATTAGGGTTTATTGGCAGCCGCAGAGCCAGACAAAAATGACAACAGAGAAAAGTGCCAGATGTAGATGTTCAGATGAAGCCCTCTATTTCAATAGTAACCCAAGAAAGGAGTAATAATAATAATAATGCGATATAGACAATTCATCATTGTGAACCTATAATCAATCTATTTGTGTGTCAAGTGTTTAGAAAGAAACAAACTCCTGTCTCGTAGTCATTGAAGAAGAACATTTCCGAATTTTCAGCAAAATGTAGAGCTTGGAATGAAATATCGAAATCAAACAGAGTTCAACAGTAATACGAATAAGCAAAAGAATACTATTTAGCGATTCAGTTTTAATGGGCAAAACCCTATTTTAACTGCATCTGTACTGAAGATAGGTCTAGAAGGAAGATGGAGTGAGCAGATACCATTGGTTTACACAGATTCAGTTGGAATAATTTGATAATAATTAATTTCGCTTTACTTACTAACTAAAGGGAAATTGTCGGTAGGCATAAAAATGAACTAGTCAACTTGAATATAGAAAATAGGCGAAACAGTGAAAACAACGCTAAGATTTAAATGAAATGTGCACGATAAATACAAAGTTATAATGAAGTATTGGCTTGTAAGGATTTTATTTGATTGGTTGGGGGAGTACTGTACAGCCGTTTCCTCCTAGCTTGGACTCTTCAGCAGTACTCACCCACCAACAGTGTTAGGACCCAGGACCTTCTGGTTACAAGGCGAGCTCGTAGACCACTAAGCCCCTGGGACCCAACCCAACAGCTAGTCCATGAATTCTAACTTCTACCGATTCACGATATAGCACGACCACTTTGCAATGAGAACAGTTACTCGTCGAAAACACTCCTGTGAAGAGTCCTGTACTAGGACGAAACAGCTATTCAGAACTTCCAGGTCTTCCAATGGTCCACTAAAGAATGCCAGCTTATGATGAAATCTCGCACGCAAACAAACCAAAAAGTTATAATCATGATAGAAACAGGCAATAAAATAATTGTGACAAGAGTCATGGTATATATTATTTTTGAACACAGAGGTCAGGTTTCAGATCCTAAGTGGTCAGTGGTTTGGCTGTATATAAATGGCATATTCTTAATTCTCTTATGCAATAGTTGAGGACTCTATATGACTGCTTTGCAGTGATCCACATAGTCCTCCTAATATCACACACTAGAAGACTTAGAATACGTCATTTATATACGACCGAATCATTGAATATTCGGGACCTAAAGCTTGACCGCGGTGTTTAGAAACAATATGATATGCCTACCCGTCTTATCATGCATAGCCAGGGTAATATCGGTGTCATAATTGTGTTGAATATCTGGTTGCTTAACTTTTATTATTAGTAACCTTGTATTTCTCTTACAGATTTCGTTTAAAGGAGTATAAATCTAAGTAATCTCAGTGGCATTGTTTACTCAAACTACGGAAAATTAATTTAAACAAACAAATAATGATCTGATCATTCACTGATTTCATTCGTTTCGTAAGTTAACTTACAGTTTCTTGTAGAGCATTAACTTTTTCCTGAAGACTAACTTTCTCTTCTGCTGCTCTAGATAATGCACGTTGTCGTTCTTGTTCTGCAAGCAGGCGAGCTTCATCTCTTTCCCTTTTAAGTAAATAAAAGGAAAAACAATTGGCTCAATGAACAGCCTAAAGGAATATTTTAAAATTACGTATTATTACTGTTTCTGAATTCCTGTTGATATATCTGATCAACCATGCTGGTAAGCTTTATTTTGGTATATGGAGTCCTTGGAGAAATGCCTCGATATTACCAAGATTAAGATATTGATGTTACTCTTTCGGTGGTGGCTAGCAGTAGAGTTACATCTTGTTCAGGACTCATCATCTGGGTGGTCCTCAGTGGGACTCAAACCTAGTGCCCATCATTCCAAATGGCAAAGCGTATTTTCGTTGGGGACAGAATCCCAGAAAGGCAAGACACATCTCCTGTGTTTCACTCCTAGCCATCAATAAATAAGACGCTTTTTAAAATATAGAGAAAATGAAAATTTATGGGATCACAAGAAAAGTTTTTCGTAGGTGTGCGTTTGTCCGATGAACAGTTTTATATATAGGCTAGTAAATGAGATTCACTATTTGCGAATAAATTATCAGTTTTGAGATGTACACAGTTCGAAGGGTGAAATTTTCACTACAGTTTTCTTCAGAAATCAAATTATTCAGATCGAAATATTTGATCTGCTTGATACGATGAATGGCAATCAAGAAAGCAAACATAATGCACAATGCTACAGAAGACTGACTGATTGAGATGATTATTTGTGTAACGACAGAAGACAAGGGCCAGACAACAGATCGTTTATTGACAAAATCAACAGATATTTATAGATTTTTATGTACATTATTATTAGCATTATTGTTAGCAGAGAAGCGACGTCTTCTGATTGCTTGTTTTCTTGCTGAAGGTTATTCTGTACTGCTTGTGACCGTTTCTTAGAAAGTTAAGCCGTATATCTGCGAATCGTATTTGCACACGCTAAGTCTTCTGTGATTGGTTGTTGAGTTCCTCAAGGTTAAGCTTTGTTATTATAATTTTTTCTCATGACCCCGATTCGGGACGTAACAATGACGCAAATTGCTGTCTACAATCTTTGGCTTGCAGATAGCTCTCACCACATTTGTATACCACTCACATCAATCAGTAGTGATTGCTAGCCAGATCGAAGTGATCCAAACATCAGACGGCTGTTTTGTCCGTTTAGCGCCGAGATCATCAGCTGTGTACCAGGTTCTACTCAGCTCAGACAGCCGAATCAGTTCAAACCACTTAAACACTACTGGTTGATATGAGTGGTATACAAGTGCTCATCTCAATCAGGCAGTAGTATACAATTTTATTTAGGGTAGTAGTATGTTTTGCATAGCTACGTTACTTTTTGGTCTGAAGTATTTGCTAATGCCCTCTTTAGTTATCTTTGAAAAGTCATTTTCATTGGGTATAAATTGTTTATTGTCATGTAAATTTTCGTTGGCCTCAGTTTTATTCGTCTCATGAGAATGAATTTCACACAGTCCTTCTAATCGTTACTCATGGCAGGTAATAAAGTAATAATAATGATAGTAGTGGCATTAATTTACATAAAACAAAAAATGTATGCACTGTTTACCTTTGAGCAGCTAATAACTCTTTCGTAAGTCGATTCATTTCTTCAGCAGAATTACGTAATTCTAATTCTCTTTCCATTAAATGTTCAATGTCTATGTGTTGTTGCTGTTGTCTGTCAATAACGCTGACAGCTTGATCTGCTCTTGCTACTGCTTGTAAACATGCTTTCTCAGCTTCTTCAGCACGTTTCTCTGACTGTAGTAGGGCCATGCGTAGACCTTCTAGTTCATTCGACAGTTGATCGCCTACTTCTTTTCCACTACGTTCAGATTTTTCTAATTCTATTTGAAAATTACTGTGTGCACGACAAAGTTCAGCTAAATTCATTGAAACAACAAAAAATAATTATATCAGCAGAACTTGATATAAAAATGAATAAGATTTCCATTATAATAAAGGTTTTCTTGTATTTCCCAATGAATGAAAAACAAAACGATATTGTTTTTACTGACGTTTTGCTATTTAATGCTAATAGCTTTATCAAAGTAATATTAAACCGGAATTTACAAATCTCAGCATATATATAACAAAGAGTTAAGGGGTGAGAAAATAGACTTAGGTCAAGTTAAAAGGACATATTGAAAGTCAAAATAGTAATGAAGATCACTAAACCAAATAACAAAGGTAATAGTACGTCTGTTATGATATCAAAATAAAGTTTAGTAACTTGATGATTGTTCGTTATTCTGGGGGCATTTTTCGTTGTCAAGTTGGTCAGTTGGTAAAGATAACAAAATCAAGTGTGGATTGTTCGGTGTGTAAAATTATAAGAGCAGTGTGTGTTTACATAGTGAACTTGCTTATCACATACGTGTTGATTTTGTCACTTCATGGGGGAGGGGAGGGAGGTGTTGTTACCAGGTCAGATTCTGTCTAAGTCCATCATTCCTATTCAGGCAATTTGGATTCCAGTTGATATGAAGTGCTTCTGATATTAGACGTTCTTTGTGATTTCTGAAGTTTTTCTGGATTATTTCAATATTGTCAAATTCAATTTTGTGGCCTGATTCTATGTCCCTTTAACTTGGCCTACGTCTATTTTCTTACCCCTTAACTCTTTGTTATATATATGCTGAAATTTTGTAAATTCAGGTTCAATAATGCTTTGATAAAGCTATTAGCATTAAATAGCAAAACGTCAGTAAAAACAATATCGTTTTGTTTTTCATTCATTGGGAAATACAAAAAAAACCTTTATTATAATGAATATCGTATACCCAGTGCCCAAATTTTTTCAAACCGTTAAAAGTGAACTTGGTTTGGACATATATAAATGAATAAGATTTATCAGAATAATATTTCAATGTGGTAATAATCCCTATTTAAAAACATTTAAAAGACTAAAGGATTGAACAGAGAGACATTTGTTTTTCAACTGGATCTTCATTTTTGGCTCAACTCTAATACATGTATGGCAATCTGAATACAATACAGAAGTTTATGAATTGAGTTGTGACACGTTTGTTAGTAATACTAAGTCAGCATTAACATGTCAAGGAGGTGAGTGAACAACAATCACTTGTAAATGGATTCTTAGGGGGGGGGGATATTCACTTGTTTTACATTCGTGTAATGGTAGCCAAAGTGAGGAAGGTGGTCTCATGGATATCTGCTGAATTGGTTTGGATTCCTCGAGTGGATTCTGAAAGCTTCGGTTGTATGTTGAAAACGTACTCGTAAAGCGAAATTGGGATGAATACCTGAAACAACAGGACACTCATGTCTTGTATTCTAATATTTTTAATTATGCAGAGCTCATTGGAATTGAATATTAGAGATATGTGAATCTGTACACAAAGTATTACGTCATAATTGAACCTTCAGGTCAGGATAGAATCAAAACGAGTGCTTACAAAAGTGTTTCTCTTGAATTCGAGTAGTAGGTGGATTACAGTGAGACTGAGACAGAGAACTTCATATGTGGTTGTTATTATAAAAAATATACTATGTATTCAGAAATGTTTATTTCATGCTATCTCAATAAAGATGATTTTGAAGCTGTAATTTTTGCTGTTTGAATGGTTGATTCAGAATTTTACAACGACTGATCGCTATGATACAAGAATGGAATTTAGGCACCCTGTTAGAGTAAAATTCTATCAAAGAATAGTTTTATTGCATAAAAAGCACACCAGTAGATCGGAAAAATCAGGCGAACAGTTTAGAGAAAAACTCAGCCATTCTTATGCATACATTAACATTCATTCACACAATGGATTGGGGAAGACCATCAGTTCTAAAAAGTGATATAGATAGGTGGAGGAAAAAGTTGGTTCCTGAACTTTCGTTCATCGAGTCTACACCTAAGATGACCAATAGGAATGATGGTAAGCCGAAGCCAGAGATGTGGAAAGTCTTATCACCCATAAAGTAATGATGTGATGTAAAAACAGTGTGAAAGTTATGTGATCTTCTTGATATGACTGTGAGCCGTAAATTGTGCTGCATCACTGTGTGATTTTTATCAAATATAACTAATGTGTAATGGAATTTATCATTATGTTTGTTATGAGACTGTATATTCTCAGAAAGTGATGAAGCATTTCAGTATACGTTTGATTTTGATTGGACACTAGTAACTAGTGTGATGTGTCTAGTCCTTTCTTTGGTGCAGACTGAATTCTATCAGTCATGTTTGTAATGTGGCCACCATACCACTAGGTGGCTCACCATCACGGTGCACATTGATTTCATGATATAAGATAGTTGGAGGCGATCGGCAGGAAGCCTTCGACCTAGGTTTCGTGTTAATTGGCACTCACCAGTCAGCAAGGCGTATCTGCGACCTTGAAGGAACTCATGTCCTTTCGGAGATACAAACCTGCGTCACCCATCGCTGCAGAAGGGACATGAGTTCCTTCAAGGTTGCAGATACGCCTTACTGACTAGTGACTGCCAACTAACAAGAAACCTAGGTGGAAGGCTTCCTGCTGATTGCCTCCAACTATCTAATTCACTTGATTTTTATAGTGATAATATTGGGGTTAACGTTAGAAATAATAAGTAATATGTATATCACAGTGTATAACACAGTTATTACCTATGAACATTTATTTGTATAATTTTGTTGTGACACATAAATGCTGCTATATTACTAAATTAAGTAATATCAATTCTCTTGAGACGTGTAATGTAACTGCGCAACACATTTCAGACATTCTGATCATGCACGTACTTGTCGCACATATATAAAAGGCAGCAGAGTATACTGCGGCACAGTTTTTATCAGTGCAGGTCAAGATCAAAGATGACAGAATTCTGCTGTTCCGGGATACAGAACACATCTCCAAGTGGCTTCAGGAACACATAAAATCACCTGAATGAGTAAATCCTGGAGACAGATGTCCCACATCACCTAATCTAAATACACATCATAGAAACGGGTCTTCTGGTTGATTTCAAAATCCCCTTTGCATCCACATATAAAAAAGGTTTCGGTCATTAACGTAGCCATTAAAAGGGCTTAAAACTGTTCTATATATTCAAAAATTATTTGTCATTATTTTGAACCTTCCTTGGTAATCCAATTTTAGAATCAAGAATCATTCTGCCTTAGGATATTTTCATTCCCTTCTTCTTACCAAGCTTTTCTTACCTCATTTTCTCATGTCTCATCTGCGATCATAACTCATAAACGTTTTGATGTATATTGGTGGTGATCAGAATGTCTGAAATATGTTGCTCAAATACATTACACATTGGAGATAAATTATATCTTCATAATGTTTTGTCGAAATTCATTATTTCTTATTTTATATTTCATTCTTGTACATTCCGAGTAGAATGTGCGTCGGTGGCACGGCGGTTAGGACGCTCGTCGACCATGCACATGGTCCGGGGGTCGATCTCTTGCCGGCGCACACCTATTATCAATGGTCGGCCTGCAAAATTTGGGCTACCGATATCACAGGCTGAAAATTCCATACTTGTACCAAAAATACTGTATGGTTTCAAGCTATAATCAACAAAATATAAGGCCTCGAGCTGGAACTTTGAGGTTTCGGTAGCAGTGGTTTCATTTTTATGGAGTGGGTTCACTAGTTTCATGCCAAAACTTCCCTCTTTACCGGCCTTTCTACCGGTTTAACGAGGTCTAGGAGTGCGTCAGCCGGGGATCGAATCAGGGACCATGTTCGTGGTTGACGAGCATTCTACCTCTAGACCACCGACTCTAGTGGCTCCAGAGGGGGAATTCATAAATGGTACTAATTGCTTTAAACAGGAATATATCTTGAGATAATGTACATTCGTATTTATATTTATCAAAATCAATAAAATAAAAGTGGATGTGGACCCAGAATTAGTTTCTACAGAGGAAAGGTGAAAATTTACTTGGTAGTCAACAAGACAATATAATAATTGATTTGAAAAGGTTTTTTGGTTTTATCTTAAATAAATGCCCTTTTCGGTCCCTTGGTAGAAAATCTTCCAGCTACATTTTTTGCCTAGCAGAGCTCATCATCAACGAATATCTTAAGCTATCGGGTCGTTAACGTGAAGCTATATCACTAGACGACAAAAGGAACTATTCAAGTCAGAATTGGCGTTCTGGTGAACTGAATTCCATGAAGTGATTTCTTACCAGGTAGTAAGTGGTATTTTTAGTACTGACCAAGTTCTAATAATTAGACCAATAAACACCAACTGCTTTGCTAATCGTATGCTTTATTTTCATTTGCGCACGTCAAACTCATTCAGAATGTCTGGTTGAATGTTCTTCTAAACGTCTCTTGATATTATTTCTTATTTGTAAACAGTCTTCAGTTATTTCAAGGAATTTGTTGAATAAACTCCCATGATAACTGTACACTTTGTTTATTATTTTGGCCTTTCCTTTTCCATCAGCTTGAAAATCAAATAGTTCTTCCCACTGTAGAGTTGAATACTGCCTTATTTGATAGATGGTGACTAGTAGTGGTAGCAAGGATGTTCATTTCGTCCTATTTAGCACTCGTCAAATGGATGTACTTGTTCTACAATGAGTGATATTGTTCCCTCTGAGACTGGAACACAAAAGCGTTATCCAATAAACCACTTGGACCACAAGAGCTGTCTCTTGTGCAACAGGAATAAATTTTTAATTCTGTTTAAGTCAATTTTTGTTTTTATTATCGATTTATAGGACCGAAATATTCGACGTCTGCTGAGACGTCGGCTCCTAGTGCAGACGCTTTGACGATGTTTGAGGATTAACTATGGGCCGACATGTCAACAGAAACTGCACATTTCAGTCAAATCAATCAACGGGCTAAACAAATGTTAACTCAAACAAGATAATGAGTGATATGTTATTGTTATTTCAGTTTGGTATAATTTGACGGCACTACCTAAAGACAATAGTCATATCTGCTCTGTCATTCCAGTAAGATTAGTGTGATTGATATAACGTGGGTCTTTCATTATCTCTTGTTTGATAAAACAGTTGAACACAGTATCTAATCTTTAGGAAGATGATAGTTTCCTCAGCGTTTTAAGTTATTCCTGTTGGCCAGTGGTAACACATTTGCATCCGAAGACTAGGGCTTCTTACGGGCTACTTGTAACCATAAAATGCAATTTGCTTCATGTCTTGGAGTTACATCACTTATTATGGTGGTCAAAAAACAGCTCAACGACAGCCATTTATTTATACTTTAATTACTGTTGAACACACAAGATCAGTAGATGATGGGCAGTAAGAGATGAATCACATTTGTAAGTAGACTAGGATGCTACCCGGGCACCTATAGTCAAGCAGTTGGTTATCTTAAAGGACAACGCCCAGAGTCTTTGACTGATGTCTGATACACAAGGCAGTGGAGCGGAATTAGGAGCTGCATTCCCATGGTTTCTGGTGTCTAAAACTCGTTCATGCGTCATTCTATCTGTCCGGATGTTTGAGTCCACTTACATCATTAGTTTGGAATCAGGGCTTTCAGCACTTCTAGATAGACTAGCACGCCCGCCAGTTCAGTTGTAAGCACTAGGCACTTTCATCTGTGAGGAACACCACCGCCCCATGAAGGTAGGGAGTAGGAATTATGTAGTAGAGGCTATGAACGTTTGACCACATCAAAACATTTCAAGGGAGAGACCAAAGCCTACCCAACCTCGGCTGTACCAGATCGTTTATTAGAGTAATTTGGAAAGCAAGATATTCACCACTATATTTATATGTGCTGATTAACACGCCGGTACATGGTGGCCACATTGCAAACCTGACTAATAGAATTCAGTCTGTACTAAAGAAAGGACTAGAGAAATTACACTAGTTACTAGTGTCCAATAAAAGTATCCACTACAATCCTACAGGCAGTCAATCGCGAGCCCGAATAGCTCAGTGGTAACATCTCTGACTGCAGGCGGCACTGGGTGATGCGGTTTCGAATCTCATAGGGGAAATGAGTTCCTTCGGGGTTGCAGATACGCCTTTCTGACGAGTGCCAACAGGCACGAAACCTAGGTCTAGCAAGGCTTCCTGCCGATTGCCTCCAACAGTCTAATTTCATCACATTAATGTAAATCGGGAAGAATGAATTTCCGCATACACAGTCCACTTCGATCAAAGGTATTATGAATACATAGAAAAATATCATATATTTCTACCAGAGGGCTACAGAATCAAAAGAAAAATAATTCAAGATATATACAAACACACCCACCTTGCAGTTCATCTCGACGACTTCTTAAATCTGATACATCTCTTTCCAACTGCGATTGTTTATGATATAACTGTTCAATTGTTTGTTGCATATCAAATAAATTCGATTCTAGACTTTCTTTTTCTGATTTCAAATTGTTAATTATTTCTGTTAAATGGCGATTATCCCTTTCTACAATTGATAACTTGAATGGTGATTGACGAAGAATGAGTAGAAAAGAGAATATAAATATAAAAGGGAAAGATTAAGAGGGGAAATACACATTTCACTGCAGTCATTGATAAAAATAATACCTGTGAAGCTTAGTTGGTCGTTTTCCTATCTATTCATGTTTGTGTGCGCCGGTGGTACAGCAGTTCGGATGCTCGCCAGTCCGGGGTTCGATCCCCGACCGACGCATACCCGATATTAATGGTCAGCCTGCTAAATTTGGGCTACCGATATCACATGCTGGAAATTCCATACCTGTACTTAAAATACTGTGTGGAGTCAAGCTATAATAATAAAAAATAAAATATTTATCCTTCAAGAGTAGACCATTGAATCATATGGATGAGGCGTTTTCATAATCTCCGTTGTCATTACTTCTGAGCACTTCAGTCTGAAGAAAGTTCTGATGAAAAGTTTTTTAAGCCACCTCACTACCCGAGAACAGCTTTTTGTTAACCTATGATATCATTTTTGATTACAGCTTGATTCCACACCGTATTTTCTGGTACAGGTATGGAATTTTCAGCATGTGATATCGGTAGCCCAAATTTTTGCAGGCCGATCATAGATATCGGGTGTGCGTCGGCAGGGGATCGAATCCCGGACCATGTGCATGATCGGCGAGAGTCATAAGAACTGTGCCACCGACGCATGGATGATGTTGTGGTGTTAGGACTGGTGATAGCATCAGTTTGTCAGGATTGGGGAAGAAAAGGTGGGATTCGAACCTGAAATGTGCTAGTCGTAAGTAGAGTGCTCACTCCAATGAACCGCATCTCCACCTTATTATGAGCACACATTTATTTGACAGTTGTTTATTGAAAAAAATACACATTGACAGTTAACGAAATGCTGTTGATACTGAATTAAATGTACATATCCAGATCATTCAGTTATCGCGCTACATACAGCCAAGAAGTGTGTAGAGTTTCTGATGCTCTTCCAAGAAAAAATCTATGCACCTAACGTCTACTCCAAGAAACATTACATTCAACGAGACCTTACTGAATCTGGAAGTTTACAGATCATGATTTCACTAGCTTCTGCTATGCTAGAAACAACTAGGAATACAGCAGAGGTTAAAATAAGTGTTCCTATGGCAGTTAAAGTTTGAAGCATACGCATAATGTAATGCATGATATTATGCCTGGCTTTCATACTGAAAATATCTGCTTTCTTACCTGAAGGAGTAGTTCAGCTTTATGTTTTGATATAGCTTCTTTTTCACTAGTTAATCTCATAATTAAACCTTCTTGACGTTCAGAATCCCTACGGAATGTGGATATATCATCCATTAATGTAGCTTTTTGTCTTTGAGCTTCAGATAACGATTCTGTAAGTGTCATTCTTTCTCTAGATAATTCACTTAGTTCTGCTTCAAGACGTGTTCTAGCTGTTTCAGCACGCATAATCGATTCACGTGCTTGTTCTAATTCTGTCTGTGTAATTGACTTTTCTGAATAAATTTTCTCTAACTCATCTCTTTGTTCTTGTAACTCCATACGAAGATTAGCTCTTTCTTCTACTAGACGAGTTTCATTAGCATGTGTTAATGAGATTTGATGAGATAATTGTTCAGCATCATGTTCTTGTGTTTCGAGTACAGTTTCTAGTCTAGTAATTCTTGATTTATATTGGTTTTCTCTGTTAAACGCCTGAAATACATACAAAAAGAAGACCATAGATCACATGGGGAACAAGAGCAACTATGAAATATGCTTCATAAATACAAAATTACATTCATCCAAGCGAATTTAGTGTATAAGTAGCTCGCATGTCCATGAGTTCGACTCCCGGCTGACACATCCTTTAACCTTGCCTAACTGGTAATAAGTCAAGTAAAGAGGGAAGGTAGAGCGTGAAACTAGTAACCCTACCTCGTGAAAAACAGCCCCGCTACTGAAACCTTAAAGCTCGAGCTTGAAGCTTCATGTTCTTCTCAAAAATCAAAAAGGATGGTGATAGGCACCTTTAAGAGGCTAAGATTAGCGAACAGGACTTTGTTTTCTTTAAGGTTTAGTCAGCAATGCGCCAGTGGAAGACAAATCTACTAGCGGTAGATGTTTTACTTATCACCGCACTGAAGTCTCTTACGAAAAATTAAGCAACATATTTAGTCCACTCAATGCATTAGTTTATGATTTCTCATTGTCTCTCTAATAAAGTTTTGACCAGACTTCGAACTGATTTCCCTAATTTTGTACATTTTATGCGCTTACTCACCAAATAGGAATAATCGCAGTAGAAGGGAAAACATCCAAAATCTTATTGCTAATGTCAGGTGAGTGCTTATGTACGCCTCCAGCTTGATTTGAACGTCGTAGAGTCATTCGTAACTTTTACCGCCAGCTGCCCTCGGTCTATGCTGAGGATCACATTAGTGGATATTTATGACAAGCAACAAGTAACTTTGTCAGAGAATCAGCCAACAGTTTGATAATCAGCAGATTTACAGAAGGAGTTGGAAATGGATTGAACATATTCTAAGGAGGCCACTGAATGACGTCTCACACAAGGCAGACCTATGAATGGGACCCGAATAAGAAGCAGCGGGTTTAACGGGGGTCTGATTGTTACATGGAGGAGATAATGTAAGCGGTAAATGAAGGCTTCTTGGCGTTTGTGGAAACAGTTGGAGGAGGCAGCAGAGAAGTGGGTGCAGTGGAGATTTGCAGGTAAAACCCTATGCTCCAGTAGGCACAAAGAAAATAAATAATAGTGGTAACCGATTGGGTTTATAGTTAAGTGGCATTTTGTATTAGTTAGCTAGTCAGTTACGCAAGCAGTTATGCAGGCGGTTGGTTAGGCAAGTAGCTAGTTGACCAGAGTATCAACTAGCAAACGTTTGGATAAAACCTTTCTGTGAACACAGGATTGACTTATTGTTTACCTGATTGAGATCAGCAGTTAATTCTTCAATTTTATGTTGCAGTTTATTGACTGTTGTAATAGCATCATTTTTCTCTTGATCTAATATTTCTTTTTCTAATTCAATACGTCTTAACTGTTCACGGACTGTAGCCAATTCTTCACGGAAGTTCACTGTTCTCTGTTCAGTACTGCTTAATGTCTTTTGGACAGCATCTAACTCACGAAGCTGTATAGATTTAACAATAATACAAAAATTGTAGAAGTAATAAGAATAGTGGTAATGATATTGTCACTAGTAAAAGAATAATTACTTTGTGAATACTTTGCCGACTGCAGCTGTTGTTTAACACTAGTAAGTAAATGATCTTAAGTTGTCCAGTTGCAAATTACCAAGGCTTCAGTATTATAAAACAAACACTTGGAAAAGCTTTGTTGGATTCTATTTCGTTTAATGGTGACTTTCAGAAGGAGAGAAATACACTCTGAATAAACAGTTTGAGCAATCCAAAAATGCAGAGTAAAGCAGTTAAAATGAGATTTAGATATCCTCTACAAATAGTATAGTTGTTATGCGAAGATTTGGCTCACTAGCTTAAGCACTCGGTTTTCGACCAATTAGTCTTGAGTTCGAGTCCATTTCCATCTTCCTCAACCTGAGTAACTAACTGCGTAGTGTAACCAGCTCTCATACAATAACTGCAGTTGATAATTTGGGATATGAATGACCTATTCAGAGGACTGGACTCAACCAACAAAGATACTTCGTTATGAAGGAGATTAGTTGTGAAGTAATTTTCTCATGCAATAAGTCTCATTTTGCTCACTTTTATAAATGTACTTAGGAAATTTACCCATAACATCTGCCAATTCTTTTCTGTCATTTAAGTTAGCACAAACTTTAGTCCTTGAAGCTTCCAGCGTTCATCTAGACAACACCTTGACTGCTTACTTCAATGTCTAGGAGGACAATGAAAGCTTCGCAGCTTAGCGAACACAACCATATCAAGGAACATATAACTGAGCTACAAAATCTTTTCTATTTTCTCAGACTGAATTTGTTCTGTAGCCCATGTCGAATTCATTCTGTTGCGGTCAATATTCCAGTCAATGTATAGAAATATCTTTTTATATTAAGTTCCACAATTAAATAAAAGAAATTCGAAGCAGGCGACTGAGGATCTCATGGGGGAGATAACGTGAGGAAGAAATGGGCAATAGTAGGGCCAACTGAAAAAGATTGCGGAGAACAGGATGAAAAGGAAATATAATGGTGAATCTCTATGTTCACTTGAATCCCAAAGGAATGGTGATATTGCAAAGTAGGTATGATAACACATGACTTTTATACTTTTGCAATGGTGAAAACAAGCCAAAATGGAATTAGGCAAGTATTGTGATTCACTTTCTTTGTGAGCTTTGGGAAAAATCTGTTGCAGTATTTTCGACATTTTATTTCTTTACTTTCTCAGTGGAACGTAGGGCTTCAAGCTGGAGGCTTAAAGTTTCAGTATCAATAGTATTACTTTTTAAGGGATGGGGTAGCTAGCCACTTGGTCAGCCTTCCCTCTTTATCAGTCTTATTACCGGCTTAGTGAGGTAAAGGAGTGCGTAGGCTGGGGATCGAACCCCGAACCACCTGCGTCGTAGGTGAGCATTCTACCACTGTACCACCGATGTAATCTTTTGCGATAACGCTTCTGAATTCTTTTCCAACATTCATTTCGTTTGTCAGCCTATTTAATTATTACGTTTTTTAATGTATTTGATGCGTGATCCCAATTTATAAATATCGGCCTTGTTAATGTGAATGTTTTCACCTTAAATCAAGTCTTCAGAATTTTAGACAGTTATTATTAATAATAATAACAAAAGATTATTTATGTGACAGGTATTTTAGAAAATCAAAACAAGTTATTTATCAAAGAGACTCTTTCCAACAACGAATTTATTATCAAGCTGTACAATCGTATATATATATATGTGGTTTTTAAGAAGTTATATCCGGTGAGGGAATTGAATCATAGGTGTGAATGCATAAAATAATAATAATAATATGAAATGCAATTAAAACCAAAATGTTTGTAATTATACTCATAGTTAAATGTCAAGTGGCAAACCATTTAATGTCATATATAGAATAATTCACAGGATGGATAGAACTTGAAGAGGGTGAGAAATTATAGGATTAGTAGACAAATTAAATAAAATAAAAACGTTACGTAATACTGTGTGAAATTTGACAGCATAGAATTTAACGTTGTAAGAAAAAAGAATTGATTTAGAATGACAAGTGGAACAAGTGAAATAATACCGGGGACAATTAAAAGTGAGAGTAGTAATAGTAACAATTGACGTAATAAGTAAGAGAGCATATAAATTGAATAGAACGAAACCTGGTGCGGTGGTTTGCTACTCGCATTCGGCGCATTAGTAGCTCTGATACTGTGGAATATGAGTTATATCTTTTGAGGAAAATCCTAATAGATAATGGATTTCCACCACGTTTTATAGATAAGAAGATACATTTGAATCCGTACCCGAGAAAATACTTTACATAAGCTTAGAATTCAAAGGTGACTTAGCTTCCGATATCATGAAACGAAGGATATCACAATCCCTGAAAAGAACATTCCCTGCTGCATCTTTGAGAAAAGCCTTTACTAGTCGACCATTACTGTTCAATAACCTGAAGGGCAAGATCCCACTTTTGACCAACTCTGTGTGTGTTTATCAATTCATCTGCTCGTGTGGAGCTAGGTATATTGGTCGTTCGACACCAGTTTTGTCCAAGAGGGTGCAAGAACACTATCTTGCATGGTTACGAAGAGGTGGAAGTGGAGCAGTAAGGAGAGCGATCATTGAACATCTTGTCGATAATGATCACCCTATCTCTATAGCCTCCGCCTTTAAAGTCATCTACAAGGCAAAGAGTAATTTACCGAAATCACTACGTACCCGACTCATCTGTATTGCTGAAGCAGCTTTGTCCATCAAAACAGAAAAGCCAGATCTCTGTGTACAGAAGAAGTTCGTTCAACCCCTGCAACTTTCGTGGTCTTAATCCCTCTATGCTAAAGTATGGTAATCCCTAATCATATTTTGGCTATACCAATTTTTCATTTTTTCATTTTGTTTATTCATTTTGTATACTCATCCTTATTACGTCAGTTGTTACTATTACTACTCTCACTTTTAATTGTCCCCGGTATTATTTCACTTGTTCCACTTGTCATTCTAAATCAATTCTTTTTTACAACATTAAATTCTATGCTATTAAATTTCACACAATAATACGTAACGTTTTTATTTTATTCGATTTGTCTACTAATCTTATAATTGCACAACCTTTTCCAAGTTCTATCCATCCTATGAATTATTCTATATATGACATTAATTTGTTTTTCCAATTGACATTTAACTATGATTATAATCACAGACATTTTAGTTTTAATTGCATTTCATACTATTATTATTTTAGAAAAGAAAAGGCGTTCAGCAAAGAGTTACTCTTTTCGGCGATATCATTCTCAAGCTGTACAAACCGCAAATTTATAGTAATTTTTCTTGGCAACAAAAGGAATATTTCCAAAGATGTGTTAATGCAATTGTTAATTTTTTTTTTGACAACAAATTACGTAATTTAGAAGGCGTTAATCGGTTAGCAACTAAAATTGAGTTACAAAAGTAGGTCGGGTGACGTAATCTAATTGCTAGGGTTCAATCAAAAATGAAAGAGAGTCAATTCCATACCACAGTGCCCAAGTTTTACACATATATGAAAGAGAGTCAAGTTAATGATCTGAGTAGAATTCACTTGAAAATGAATGAGAGTTAAGTTAATAAGCCGAGTAGAATTCACTTAAAAATAAACGAAAATGGAGTTAGCAACAGTCGTCATGAGGGTAGAGATTTAATAGAGGGTGAGGGTAGAAAATAATGCAATTAATTATTATTTTATGCATTCACACCTATTGTAAGATGAATTTAATTTCCATCCTTGAATCAAGTCAACCTGTCCCAATTATCCTTGCCTAACGTGTCTATCCCAATTTGTTTAATGAACTGTGTGTGTGTGTGTTTTTACTTCGATCTGTTTAGTCAGACAGTTGGACTCATGACCCAATTAGAGTATTTTTGTGAACTGTTATTTTGCTGACCCATGTCCTCTTTTGGTTAAGTAGCCAATTAAATTCTATCTTTGTGCCTGTGCTCTGTCTATCTCTTACTTGGGTTCATTCTTCTACTGGCTGTTTACCTGAACGGTCGTGTCTGATCCGGCTAGTTCGTAATTTTGGCTTTAACGTTACTCCGCTCTGATAGCGGTTCCTTGCTTTCTGTTAAGCGTTGTGTTTTGTACTCTTGAAACCGTTAAGTACCGTAGAAACAGTGACCGGCTTCTTCTTTGTTCTGGACCGGGATAGCCTTTATCTACGCGTGACTTAATTTCAAGCGATATTGCGCTTACACCTATGATTCAATTCCCTCACCGGATATAACTTCTTAAAAACCATATATATACGATTGTACAGCTTGATGGTCAATTCGTTGAAAAGAGTCTCTTCGCTGAACCACCTGTTTTGGTTTTCAATATGTTACTATGGGAATTTTCCATAAGGTTTTTTTACACTTTTTTTCTATTGTAAAGAATTTATCAAGTAAATGGCAGGCATTACAATTTATGGTTCTCTGTTTTCTGTCCAAATGGCCGAAAAGTCCACTAGCTTAACCTTTTAACCTGAAGATCCTGGTAGGTTCATGCATGCTTTCCGATAAAAGATACCAAACTAGGATGAAGCAGCCACCTATCCAATACCCTCTGGTTTTCCTTAGTTTGCTAACTGAAATTGGTTCATGATCAAATTTAGGATAAGCTATTAGTAGTAATACTGTAGAATGATTAGTTAAATACGAGGTTTTACGTTTTTTACTATGCTAGTGATGATTGGAGGGGATTTAAGCTATCTAAGCGGGCATATTTACAGCAGAAACTTTCATTACTTTCGTGGTGTATGATGAGTCACAGTACTTTAGTGTGCAAAAGTAGCCATATCTTTTTATTGGGATTACATAATGTTAAGTTTATTCATTTCCCTACTATTTCATATTCAAAATTGGAATATGCATAGTTCAAGTGGTGAAATTTCACCGTAGTTTCCTTTAGATGGTAAGCTATTTAGAAAACAATATGTGGTCCACTTGATACCATAATTGCCAATCAATTTCGCAAATTATGAGTCTGATTTATGGCATGACCAGTTTGCCCAAGTACCTAGCCAGTGGTGGTTTGAACCGATTCAGTTCTCTGACATAAGTCAAACTGGGTACACGGCTAAAGGACTTGATGACAATTGACCGAAACGACCGTCAGGCGTTAAGATCACCTCAAGCTGGTCAACAAGCACTACTGGCTTATATGAGTGGTAGGCAACTACTCTCAGCAATCAATCAGTAGTATATAGTCTTATGCGAAAATCTCTGATAGGATTTCATTTCAAGAATTTGAACCAATGGTTCATGTTTTTTTTCATATTGTTTCTCTCTAATTGTTGTTTTCATTGTACTATTGTCAGTATTTAACGAACCTAATGTTCATTTATAGTCTGTCGCACCTACTGAAGTTTTTAAGAATGATATTTAAGTAGTATGCTGAAGTTATTATTCGTCCAATTCAAACTACATAAACAAACCACTTGTTAAAGGGATCCTAACGAGGATCTCTAATACTATTGTTGTTTCTGATTTCCATACTACATAAATTTAAGTAAGTCATTATTTTGTCCATCACAATTAGAATAATAAAAAGTTAACATTTTTGTAAAAGAAGTAAGATGCAACTCACTGTACGATCTTGTTCCGTTTGTAAATTATCACGTTCAGTGATTGTTTCATCTCTTTGTTTACGCATATCATGAAGTGATGTTCTAAGACGTTCTAATTCATTTTCAATTTCACGTACATGTTCATTTAAATTTTGCCTTGCTGATTCACTCATTTCATGCTCTTCTTTAGTTAAACTAAAGCGAAGAAATTCAGACTTAAATTAAGTGTTTTATAAAAATTATCATTACAATTTAATGTTAAGCTATGTAACAACATTCTAAACTTCGCAGATCATTAATATTATTATTCCCTTGATTTCGGAGTGGAACATGGAGCTTCAACAGCGTATCTCTGTTTCATTCTGTCGCCTCCGTTCTTTTTCAGCTAACTACACGATTGTCCATGACTTTTTATTTCCTCTTCTCATGATCTGCTCCGTCACCATCGGACGCCTAAATGGTCTTTTATCATCGAGATTCCACTCGAAGGCTTGAAACGTCGTTCTCCTCTGCATATGTACGAACCGTTTCCTTTTCCTTCAGCAAATATGCTGAGCAATAGGCTACTGAGGCCGCTGGGTGACATCGCACGTCAGGCCATAGCTCGAGTGGAACCTGAAAGGGAAGCGGCGAGTGGGACGTCCAAGGGTGACGTGGAGGAGATCGTGTGAAGAGGAGCTGAAACAGTATAGACTAACATGGATGCAGGTGAAAAGTACAGCACAAGACAGAAGCAAGTGAAGGCGTGCAGTTGAAGCCCTATGTTCCACCTGGAACCCAAGGGAACGATAATAACAATAATAATAGTTTCTTGGTTGATCCGTTGAAAAATTCCGTTGTTTTGCATCCTTTCTGGCCATCCAATTATCAGCATGCGCTAAAGACAGACGTTAATAAAATTATGCAGAGGGACGTTGGAAATTTCTCTGAACTACACAGAAGTAGTGACTTGACAGTGGTGTTCAAGGTACAGTAGATTTTCACAATGATTTCAGAGTAATGAACACTTGTCTTGATTTTTCCCATCAGGTCATGACATCCTCATCTTTGCTACCTGTAGTTTAAACGATGCTGTCTAGATAAGTGAAACAGGTTACCTTGTTTAGATGATTGATGCGTATTTCTATTAGTTATGTATCTTCATCAGCTCTGTCTACTCTGTTTTCACTTCAAGTTCTGTTTTTGTTACATTTTATACTAATTTTGCATGTACAAAAGTTCTGGAATAATAAAGTGAGTTGGTAGATCAGACTAGGCATGAAAATCGTTTGAAATATTTCAGTCTCCAGTATTTGATTTCGAGCATTGCATCACCAGAACTGGTGACAGCTTCAGTAGAAAATGTACAAACATGACTAATTTCAAGTGAAATAATAAATTCTGTTCATTGGATAGGGATTTAGTCTTTTTATTTTACATGCTCTGGTTTAAGAAATCAAGTTGTTTCAGTTGCCTTGATAGCTCTAATGAAGGTTTAAAGATTGACAAGTCCACCTGTAATACAATTTGAGGTGCATTGTAGTATACGATACACACTAACATTAGAAGTAGAACAAGACGAAAACTAAAACAGGTTGGTTAATATAACGAAAACTTCGGATTATAAAAGGGTGGAAAGATTAGATGTATCGTTTAATCTTTTGTCGGGTAGTCTACAATAATTTTCGACGCTTTTGTATGACTTGGTCACACAGATTACTAACTGATTCGTTGCTATCACTTTTCCAATCTGGCTGTTGTGAATTCTGTCGTTGCTTGTAAATTTCTTGACAGATCAGCGTGTATTAGCATATACATCTTTTTACTGGATGCCTTGATAACACTTTTTGTCTCAATTCGAGGTCATTCTCTGTCTATATTGTTAATAGTGGAATCAAGCAAACCATTTAGTTGTAAATCAGAAAAAATGGAAATGAAACATTTAAGTAGGATTGCGACATTCTTCTATATGGAGGGTTGATCAATGTAAAAGTTTGAGGTATTATCAAGAAGCCATTCATGTCCTCAACTGAACTATAATATTATGCGTGGCATTTCTTCCTCAGGAAGTAAAGAATGTAGATTTTTATTCCTAAGTCTGTAGGACAAAAATTCATCGCCAAAATATGCAATACGGTCTCTAGAACAAGTAAGATAGCAATATATATTTTGAATACATGTAAGACCACCCATTGTAAAATTAAAGAGTAACATAGTGCATGGAACTTGAGTAAACAACTGCACTGTGTGCCTTATCGATAGGTTTAGATTAAAACGCTTATTACTAGACAGTTGAACTCATTCCAAGCAACTATTCACATTGTTAAAAAACTGAACTGCTCTACATATTCTGCAAATTATTGTGTTCATAGCTTAAAAGAAACTACCAGTATTTGAAGAATATTTTATCAAAAATGTCGGATGAAAAGTTGTTACACATAGATATTTCAAAGATTGCATACACTGTCTACACTCAACGGCAGTGATTGTAACAGAATAATTGTTTGTAAAATGGTTCCTAAACGATCTATTTACATTACTGATACTGATATTTTAACCACTTCCATATTAATTTGTTTATTAGATATATCACACAGTGAAACAGTATTATTTACTGGATGACATCTTATAGTTTTCTTTATGCTATCTTATTCGTCATAAGCGTGGTAGAATTATCTAGATGTTGGTGTGGACAGGTGTTGAATCATTCATATTACACGTATTCTCCTCAGACGATTCGATAAATAAAGCTTCAGTCATTTATCAGTCTCCCCCTACACACTGTGACATTAGATTTTAAAACTGTCATCTTATTCCATCCTGTTTTATGGTTGTGTGTCATTGCACGTAGTGAGTGCTACAGCTGAACTATTCTCTACATTTCTTATCTTATTCGGGTCAACTAATCTAGATTTTGCTGTTTTTGGGCTGCGCTAGGCTGACTAACTCCGGCCTACTGGTTCGACCTGTGTATTTGACCTGACAATCATTCCAGGATATTAGATGAAATAAATTCCACTACGACTTCTAGGAAAGAATAAAGGAAACTATAAAACTCAAGTTTCGAAGTCATGTGATTATAATTGATATGATTGTGGACAATAAATTGTGTTCGAAACGTCATCCAGTAGGTAAAACGGTTTCACTGTTTGTTATATCTAATAAATAAATTAATATGGAACTACATACTATCACAGTGTCCATGTTTTACTCATATAATAATATTTCAATCAACCTTGTAGGTATTATCCTTTTTCCTCCTAGACTAAATATCGTTGTCCTAAAGTTTGCATATCACCTATTGATTTTATCCTGGTTTAATCCTTAATTTCAATGCTTCTCTTTAGGTGTGAAGGTGTTTACAGTGTGTTGTTTTACGAATTTGATTTTGTTTGAATGAATTCAAGGTCGCCCGGGAGGACTTTGATCTTTGACTGTCTACAGGAAGTGTTTGGTGTTTGATTCTTGCTGATAGAGTTTTGATCCGACATTGTTGGAAATATTCTACTTGATTCTCAGGTACTTCTTACAGTTGGTCTTGCTTAACCAATTTTATTGTACAGTACTTATTCTATACATGAAGGTTCTTTGATCTGTGTAGCTGCCTAAAGGCGTTTTTGAGGTGATTTTTAGTTTTGATATGTGAATGCTGTTAGGTAGTACCACAGTTTTTATAGCAAATAACTGTCTTTTTTGCTGTCGTCAGGTACTTTGGGACTGTGCATGATTCAAGGATCCTGTGTTTAGCAATTTAGTAGAATACACCTATTGGTTTCCAGCGTTCAGGCCACAGTACATCTGTTTCAGTCCCTATTTTGATTTCCTATAACTTTAATTTTTATGAATTGTGGGATACGCGGTAGGTTTCTCTCTGTTAAGCTTCAATCTCATTGAGCTAACTTATATCTTCTTAGACTTTACTGCGTGCCATTTGGTTGTACAAGAAAAATCGATTCTCATCCAACTTCAAATATGTCAGTCAAGAGAAAACAGGTCCATGGTAGAATGTGGTACTGAAAGCTGAGATATTACAATTCGATGAACGACCCCATTATTAAAACATCCAGAATGTATACACTGATGTTTCGCTACGGTGTAACCAGTATCATTTACCTGTTCGTTAATAGTGGTACTAACTGACTTTTATCAGTCAAAGTTATCATGTAATCGCAAAGCCATGTAACGCTAACCACCCATAAAACAGAATGTATGCTTATGACAGGTCTGTATGAAATTATTGTGTATTACATAAAAAACTAGCACAAAAGCTTGAAAATGAAATAGTTTGCAATGTTTAATTTGACCTAAAAACACATATTATTAATTGAAAGAGAATTCTCGAACTTTCAACTCATAAATTACCTCAATGTTTGTTTGATTCTATCTTTTTCTCTTGACAATTTATCCATTTCTAAACTTTTTGTTTCTAATTCTTCCCTTAGTCGTGCAAGTTGTTCAGAAAGACGTTTACGTTCAGTGTCTGCTTCTTCTCCACGACGTAAAAGATTATTGATTTGTTCTTTCATTCCAGAAGTTCTAAGTCTTAAACGATGAACCTATTAAAATTTATTTAACAAAGAAAAATGTATGAAGTGGTAAATAAACGTAGATTGACTATAGCTAATTTCTGGGTACTACTCTTAGTGATTACTGTTCATTCCATATTCGAGTAAATTGACATTTTTATGACTTGAATAACACTTAAAGCAGTACTTGATGAAGTTCCAAGGAGACATTAATGTCAAGTGTATGCAGTGTCAGAAGTAAGCCAAAGTATCTTGTAGAAATTTAGTAGCAAGATCTCAGGACACCTTGTCGTAACCGTTCACTCTTGTGGTAGTTCATTTCAGAATAAGCAACCGGAAAATCTAACTACTTATTACACCCACCGAGTTGCTTAGTTATTTTTGGTATTGGTGCTTTAAACTTCAGGTTACATTCCCCAATATGCACCTGGTGATCTTAATTTTCACTAGGTAGAACTATAATCTATGACGTATACTATGTATCCTGTGGAAATATGATGATATATAGAGCATACTATAGCTTGTAAAGCAAAACAAAATTGTTATTGGGTGACAGGATTTCATCAATAGAGAGAATCATTGGAAAACCTGGGAATACTGGATAGCTGTTTCGTCCTAGTTTGGGACTCTCCATCACCACCGGGGTTTGAACCAATCAGTCAAAATCCCTACAAACCAACACTTGAATATCGATGAGATGCTCACTGGCCACTGGCCCTATTCAGGAAGGTAGTTACCTGGGGATCTAGTGAGAAGTTTTGACCAGTAGGGTGCGGCAGGAAGGGTGTGAGGACAAATACTCGCCGAAGATACTGAATTGTGGTCACTCTATGTCGTGAATTGGCAGAAGTTAGAATTCATGGGCCGATCATTGGATCGGGTCCCAGTGGCTTAGTGATCTACGTGCTCACTAGCCTTGTAACCAGAATGTCCCGGGTTCGAACCCCGGTGGGTGCTTACTGCTGAAGAGTCACAAACTAGGCTGACAAAACAGCTGTCCATTACTCCCTGCAGGTTTTCCAATGGTTCTCTAACTGATGTCAGCTCATGGTGAAATCCTGTAACCAATCGCTCAAATCCCTACAAGCCAATACTTGAAAATTGTTATTTTTTTCAGTTTTACATTCAGAAGTGTTCTACGAGAAGATTTTAAAAATTGATTACCGAAACGAAATTCCACTACTCTGAATAGTCTAAGCATTCGGTCTAATAGTTTTACTTTTCCTTTGTCAATGATATTTATCTTCAAGAATCAATTTCATCATATACTCATATTAACCAAAAAATTTTGCCAAGCCGTAGTTCTACTCCGAAATAAGATTCTTTGTCAGTGACTGGATCTATGAGTATAATTTACGTTTTTATTCGTTCTAATGATCATAATCTTGTAGATTTTAATTTTTGGAAATCTACAGTTGACTGCTGAAGGGTCCTTAGGTTGAGGTTCTCGTACTAGGCAGTAGTAGTGAAATAAAATAAAATTGAACCTCTAAAACGTTAGTAATGCTTGATAAGTTGAACAGTTGATGCTCTTCTTTGATACATTACTGACATCCTGAATTCATGTGCATGGATGTACCTCATCAAGAAACTCATTTTCATCAACACTGAAATAGAAGCTACTCAGCGAAAACATATTCGAAAAACAAGAGGTCACAAAGCAAGAAAAACATTGGTATTCAGAATATTTAAGTCTGGTAAGAAGGCTGTCTGTCTGTCTGTTTTCGACATAGAACTGTGCACATATGTGCGGCAGTTCAAGTCGCCACACTCCATGTAGCACACAAAGCAAGAGAAGAAAGTAGGAGAAATGCATATTATAGACAGTAAACAGAGGTGTGAGACAAAGGTATAGTAATAACGAAGAACGAAACAGTTTAATTGGAAATCATAAGTCACAAGGAGTGGATGCATCTGCGCCACTGAGAACGATTTTGAGCCACATCACCGATTTTTTCCGACCATTGGTTTCTACCGTCCCGAGGACCCCAACCAGACAGAAGTCTACACCTTCCTACGTGGCCTAGACTAACTGTCGTAGATTTCATTGACTGGTGCCATGTTTTCGTTTGACCGCCGCTAGCTAACATTTCCCGTCGAGGAAGGCGGTGACTAGGCATACGTAACACATGTCCTAACCATCTCAGTCAATGTAATTTCACAGCCTCGTCGATTGATTTCCCCTCCCACCTACCTAGCACTCAACGCCTAACCTCAGTATTGCTCACCTTATAATTCCACTTCGCCCGAGAGATAGAACGCAGGCCCCTATGATCAAAGACAGCTAATCTTTTCATGTCTCCCACTCTCAATAGCCAGGTCTCATAGCCATAAAGGAGGACGGAGTGGACTGATGAGCAGTACACACGCCCTTTGGTCGATAGTCGGATATCACGTCTACGCCAGAGACGGCGTAAACTGGCATATGCGAAACTAGCTCTCTGTATTCGTGCTGGCTGTGCTTGATGTGAATTATGGGGTTAATAATTAGGAGTTATTCAAAAATGGAGGCAACCTGAAAATAAATGAATAAGCTAACGGCGTCATATAAGTAAGCAATGATACCTGTGGAATAGTGCGGAATTTCTAGACTAACAGTTTGTTTAAGCCAATATCTGATATCTAATTAACTAGTCAGTTAATATGCATTAGTTCAAGTTAACCGAAGTTTTATCATGAAGTCTTTTCTGAGGTTAAATGAGAGGAACGTTTATGAAGAGAATAAGGTTTTTTTAGATGCCACTAAAATCTGTTTGGACAAAGTAAATACTGTGAAAAAAGGCGTGAATTTCGGCAGTCAGATGAAATCAACAGATGACATCATTCTTGAAAACTGTGTTACTGTGATTCGCTTTTACACATGTTGATGAAAGCTTTGTACTCTTGTATATCTAAGAGAAAGATAAACTTAGCTAAGTGTTCTTTAATATGGTACCGTTCACAGAGAACGACCCGTTCAAATTTCAAAATAATAAAATTCTTGGCTCTCTATGGATTTATTTGATCTCAGTTAACAAATTCTCAGCATTCAAGCATGCTTCATATTTGTTAAAGTACTCATTCTAGTGTCAAATTAGGTTTTATTAGTTGAATATGGTCAATGCGTGACTTTTGGAAAGTATCCCTTAGGTTACATATAACGTTAAAAGTTACTCCAGTACTTTGGGTAAAGAATTAAGCTACCTGCTTACATGAGTTTCTACTGTTGGGTGGCCTGAATAGTCTACAAATACTTACAGACATTCGCAGTGGTGTAGTTCTAAACCCTATATTTTGAAATTTGCAAGTGCCAATAATATCATTGTCATACGAAGTGAAAAATTATAGTGAAGATTGCCTATAGGATTACATCATGAGCTGACATCGGGAAGAGAACCATTGGAAAACCTGAAGGGAGTACTGGATATCTGCCTCCATCGTCCTAGTTTGGAACTCTTCATTGGTGCCCACTCACCGGGTTTGAACCCGGAACCTTCTGGTTAGAAGGCGAGCTCGTATACCGTTAAGGCAATGGGACCCAAACTAACAGTCCATAAATTACAACTTCTACGAATTCACGATATCGCGTGACCACTAGAGAATGTCATCGGCAAGTATTTATCCTCACACCTGACCTTCTGTATCCTAGTGATCATGAATTCCCACTAGAATCCAGTTAACGACCTACCTAAATGGGTCCAGTTCCCAGTGGGCATCTCATTCATATTCAGGTCGTGACCATTAGAGTACAGAAGGTCAGGTGTGGGGATAAATACTTGCCAATGACATTCGCTAGTGGTCGCGCTATTTCGTGAATTGGTAGAATTTGGAATTCATGGACTGTTAGTTTGGGTCCCAGTGGCTTAATGGTCTACGACCTTGCCTTCTAACAGAAGGTTCCGGTTTCGAACCCACGTGGGTGGGCACTAATGAAAAGTTCCAAACTAGGACAATGGAAACAGCTGTCCAGTACTTCCTGAAGGTTTCCAATGGTTCTCTTCCCGATGTCAGCTCCTGATGAAATCCTGTAACCAATCAATCAAATCCCTACAAATCAATACTTGAATGTAGTGAAGATTATTATTAAGCAATTCTCTTGAAAGAATTAATTCTCTGTAGCACTGAATGTTGTGAAGCATTTTATCTTTTCATTTCCTTATCTAAACATAAAATGTCCGATAGTGGCTAAAAGTGGGGTTCACGATGTGGATTTGTCCTATTCGGGACTCGTCACAGGATAGATTTGTATCCTCAGCTGTTGGTGGCATTCCCATTGAAACTCAGACCCAACACCAGTCATTTCAAGGGTCAAAGCGATGTCTACTAGTCTGACAGACCATGAGAGCTGCCTCTTGTACACTGTATATTGTTATTTATTTTCGTTAATTTTTTTGTATTTCTCGTTAACTGATTATGTTGGACACGAATACTGTTTCTCTTCTGACACATCGACTCCTAGTACGGACTCTTTGAAAATGCCTAAATGTTGACACAGGGTCATTTCATTGTTGCCTAATAGCCTAGTAAGAATGCTTTGTCGTCTGAAATAATGTGTACTGGGTTCGAGTCCTATTAGGAATATCATCACTCACTGAAAATGCAGGTATATCCATATCACATGTTTCAAATAAGGCAAAATGCACATCCTGGATTCCACTGCTAGTTACCATGATCATCATGTCAATCTTCAGACATCGTAATACCATCTGTACTAATATTCAACATGTTGAAAGTCACTCAACATTTCTGTCCACCATAAACAGTCAGCAGGAAATACAATAAGCAAATTAAAACAAATAACTTCACAAAATTATGTAAGAAAAACCCAATAAAATGAAACCGTTTGACTTTTCTTTCGTTATTCAGTTTATTGTGCTTTAATTTATCATAATAAATCTTTTGGTCAACCAAAATTTAAATTATGTAAATTTCATTTATTTTCTTGCTTGTTTTAAAATTATTATTCAAAGTTCAATGAACCCGGCTATTTCAAAAGCTCCAGAATAAACCTGTTGTTATTTGTACACAAATAAGTTGAAGAATTGTGATCA